ACCTTGTGTATGCATTCAGCTCTTCTGACCCCTTTCCCGCTGCCTCGACAGAAATCCGGTTTAAATGATCATTTGTCAAGTAATTATGGACAGACTATGTCTGAATGTAAACTTTATTTAATGTAAAGTTGATTAAAAATATGTATGCTTGGCAGCATACTGACATAATAACCCGTGATATATAGATATACATGCATGTTGATGCCTGTGGTATACCTTGTATGATAAGCCTATTGTAAAATCGTTTGGCGTTTGCTCAAAAAAACTGAATATTAAAAGTATTCATTACGATATCATGCGATTGTTCGAAGCGAATTTATCTTGTCACTACAAAACACTTTATTGTTGCTATTGTAGATTATTTGAGTGGGCGTTTCAGCGCAATTGCCAGGAAGTTTTGGACTTATCGTGACCACTTAGAAAAAGTCATTAAAAAGTAAATTAAATATGTAAGTATATCATAGGCAGCCCAGACATGTTTTCGTTTCGTGGCGCTCGCGCGTGTACACGAGTCTACTTGGTCTATCATTATGACCATAATAATAGACCAAGTAGACTCGTGTACACGCGCGAGTAGGGCGCTTCGCGCGAGCGCCACGAGAACGAAAACATATCTACGTCTGGGCTGCCTATGAGTATATATCATTTTATATGTGGTAACCTTTTCGTTTATTTTTATGCTTTTTTTTCTTTAATTGTTTTCATAGAAAAAAACTAAACTCCAAGGGCTTTCCCTATCAACCTAATGCGGATAGATTCCTGTGTTTTCAAATATATTGCCTTATTTACGTTCGTAAAGAAGCATCCAAAAAAGGGCATAACTTCGCCAGGAAAAAGAACTAGAACAACTTTGAAACTTGAAAGAAACCTAGCTGGTTAACCAAAACCGCCTCCCTGAGTCCAAAAGACGTCAACTGAGGCGTTTGTTAAGTTTTCGTTGAAGGGTTTAAAACAGAGTAAATAAGTTAGCGTGAAAACTCAAATCGGTGACTGATTAAGAGTACAGAAAATGGGAAAACATTTCATAGTATTCTTAGTTGTTATCATGAACATATTATTTCTACACGAAAGATGAGTTGATTGTATTTGTCTGTCAGACAGAGATCTGTCAGTCGAATTGGAACGTATTGTTGTGAAAGTGGAAATGAATTCAGAAGATGCAAAACAACGCGTGTTAAAGTGCACATGCAGGCTGCAGCCATTGTATATTCTCCATACTTATGATATTCAGTACATTTTAGGATGAAGTACAATACAATTTTTTAGAGGAAAACTTCAAATACATAAAATGACGCCAAATAAGGAACTTTTGTGGTTTACAAGAAAAGAAAACTAATTTGCATTGCTTTATTTGACATCACTTCCGATAACTTCAACAACCAAAAAGACCTTGAAGATGAAGTTTTTTTCTTACTGCATTTCATCGTAAAATGTACTGGGTATCAGAAATATGTATAATCCTTTTTGGTTGCATGTGCACTTTAATGAAAAATGCAAACATACCAGCGATTGTGGCGGGTGTTCAGAATACTGCCATTGCAAAAAAAATTGTAAAACTAAAACTTCAGCCGATCCCAAAGAGTGCTCTAACGATAGTTTTCCTGACTGGGCAATAGTAGTGATTAGTCTTGGCGGAATAGCGTTGATTGTTCTAGCATTAGTGGTGACATGTATCTTCGTTTGTTTTCGCCGTCGTCAACTTCCATCTCGAGAGGAAACTTATTCCACGTGACACTCTTACAAAGCGTTTGAAGAATAGCTGATGCGTATTGTTGAGGGTGGGGGTGTGGAGGAAGGGGTTGTGCGGAATATGATGGGGTGTGGAATAGGTATTGGGGTGGAGAAGGCGGTGGGGGTGCAGAGTGGTGAGTGTCGAGGAAGTGGGAAGGCTGGAGGTGGGATGGTGTGTGGAGTAGGCGGTGGGGGATGTGCAGGTAGTGCTGGATTTTGAGGTGGCGGAAGGGGTGGAGATGGTGATGGAGAGTGTCGATGAAGTGGGAGATTCCACAACTAAACAATACATATTTTAACAGATTCATTGCGTTGTCCAGATATAATATTTAGATCAGTAAACAGTTAAGTCCTTTTTCTTAGTGGGAAGATTTTACAGTTATTTGTACACAGACCTCCAGCTCAGTCGAACGAATCGTTGAATTGTAGCTCAGTTGTAGCGAATAAATATTACATTAATTAAGATTAAGCAATTGCATTGGTTCTTTTTTTATTTGCCATTTAATTCTTTCCTAATCATATTGTTTTCACAATAAATATACCGAAGAGACAAGTTTGATTGTCATAAACAATGCTTCGAGAAACAATATCACATCTGCAGATTTGTGTGCATGGTGATTCATTAGCAATTTTACGCATTTTCACCGTTCTGACTAGTCTTGTATGACTTATTTAAAAGCGGTCTCAAAGCCAAAGGCCTCTTTTTAAACGTTATGTTGTTATTACATTTAACGTAATTGTTACTATGCAAGTTTAGTTCCATATTTCTTTCCGCCTTCCTATATTTTAGTCCTTCCACACCAGTTCAGCATAATCGTTGAAACAGTTCTGTTCGAATTTAAATTGCTGATTAAGATGCTTAACGAATCCAGCGCTATCATATATAACCTGTAATTAGCATCATGATGTGATATAACAACTGCCTAAAATAGACATAACACAGGCAGTTGTTATACCACATTTGATGTTTGAAGACGCTGCCACGCTGCTCCCTGGTTATATTGGAACGTATGTAACGTGTAATTAGAAGAAAAGAACTCATCACTGGTTTGCACATTTGTGCATTTCTGTTTTGATCTCACTTAACATGCCACTGAATAAGTTACGTACTCCGCGATCTTTTGAAAATTCATCAAAAACACATGGTAGCTGTGAAATGTGAGACTTATAGGTAAGTGCACAAGTTTACGGTGGCTCACAGGAGGCACCCATATAAATACGTAAATACCAATCCACAAAATCCGCTCATCATCACAAATCTCATATGCGAGCACGTCGTTCCAAGACCTGCTAGCGGGTTAGAAACGTGCTTTCCCTAGTTATGCTTGGAGCCTGATGAAACATTACTACAGTTTTCAACGAAAAACAAACGAAAGGGACTTGACCAGAATGGCAATAACCGGCATTCATTCTGGTCAAGGCATCTCACACATTTCCATATTGCACCCGGGTTTTGCCAAACATCAAACACATATTCCTAACATTTCATGAATACAATTTTCAAGTCTACAATTCTCCACAATATTCTTCACTACACAATTCCTATAACGGAATCATATCAAGTTTTACCAATCATCAATCTTCATCATTGCCTCCATCTCATATTCAAAAGGCGCCCTCCAACAACCCTACAATGAGGGCATAGCCATCTCCACAGGATCCGAATACCTGCAACTACATATAAAATAAAAATATTGACTAAAAACAGTGTCTGGAATTCCTGATGTGCTGTATTTCCTTCCCAACTATTGTAGTGGTGATAGCTTTTTAATGGAGGTTTCAAAAAAAAATTGAATGAAATGGAAGAGAAGATCAACATATCTGATAAACGACGATGTAATCGTCTCGCCTTTCGCATTTGGACACCCTCTGGATCAATCTCTTTCATTATTTTCGCTACGACATGACGACTAACGTTAATATGGTGGCGAAGCCTCAAAGCATGCCAAATACTTCTATATCCAGACAGCCTTCCTGCTTCTTCAACTTCTTCTTGAATTACTGTTCGTAAATGTTGATCATCAATGACCTGCCCTCTTCGCTTTAAACCTAACGACTTTAAACGACGTTTTAGTGTTCTTAAAGACGTCGATACACCAGCACTATTTAGAAGAACAACAGTTGCTCCATAATTATGGCTATCCACGGTTAAGATAATTAACAATAAGATCCGTAGTCTCTTTCTCCGATACACAATTCTCACAGTACGTTTCTGCATCAGCCGCAGCATTGCCGCACCCTGCACAACTCATAATGATCAATCATGTACTGCTTATATCTTCGACTCCTTGCTTTCCTGTGAGCTTTTAAGTTCAATTAAATTGAGTGAAAAAACGCACCGCGCACGACAGGATAAAAAAGAAAATAAAGTAACCTTGACTTGCGCATGCGCGTAATTATGCGATGAGCCCGCATGTAATTAAAGTGCGTTCAAAAATTTAAAGTGTGTTGGAAAACTTAAAGTGTGTTGGAACATATTTAAAGTGCGTTTGAGAAACTTAAAGTGTGTTGGAAAACTTAAAGTGCGTTTGAAAATTTTTAAAGTGTGTTGGCAAATATTTAAAGTGCGTTTGAAAACATGTAAAGTGCCTTTCGGAATATTTAAATTGTGTTTTGAATTTTTGTGGATTGGTATTTACGTATTTATATGGGTGGCCCCTGTGAGCCACCGTACAAGTTCAAGGTTTCGAATTCTGACGATTTACGGTGTGCAAGCCTCAAATCGTTGACGATTTGGTGAGCAATTTATGAATGTTTTTGCTCACCAAGTTAAAAGGCCCGTTTAGACTTGCGCACATAAACGGGCCTTAAGTATGAAGAATTGCGGCTAGGTTTACATGAAAACAAACCAATAGACCTTTTCAGCTTGTACGCAAATTAACATTTACTGAAATGGTTCAGATGTTGCGACCATGGAATTGCCAATAAAACTTAACCATTGCAGACCATGTGATTTGAAATTGGTTATTTGCATACAAGCTGCAGGTCTATTTCCGTGGTGCTTCTCACTTGAAGGGAAAATGTCATCTTTTGATCAGATGTGAACGAGTAATTAGTTCTGAATGCTCTGATTTATAAGAGCTCGTTTACATAAAATGGCAGCAAAAATTGCAAGTGTAAATGTTGTAAACGGGCCTTTAAATCTTCTGTCGAATGGAAACTTCTAGAATTGCGTAGTAATACACGCTTCTTGAATCGTCAATGACTAAATTTTTAAAAACGCTTTCTTGTGTTTTGAGTTGCATAGGTTTTGTTACTTTAACCTGGTATAAGTATTATATTAACAATGACTGGTCAAGACTTTTGATGTTTGTTGAATTAATATATAATTGTCAATGTGTATTAATCTTCCCACCATTGCCATAGGTATATGTTTTCAAAAATCCCTTCATTCTTATTACATCATCTATCAAATATCGTTGAAAATTTGATAGGTGTCTATATATATATGTGTTTTTCTTTTTCTGATTCCGATCTCGTTTTAAGGCCGTTTACACCTGCGATTTTTGCTGCGATTTTCCTCTTTTGATAGATGTGAATGAGTAATTAGGTACGAATGTTCTGATGTATGAGAGCTTTTTTAGCATTAGTATCTAACTAATTCACTCTTTCACATCTATCAAAAGAAGAAAATCGAACATAAAATGGAAAAAAATTTGCAAGTGTAAAACGGGCCTTTATCTGTTTTGGGAAAGGAACTAGAAGATGCAGCGAAAACCAAGAGCACCGAGAATACGACCTGTCACTTTGCTACGTCGTCCGTACTTATCCACACAACGACAGCCTATTAATGGGGGGCATTGTATCGCAGCAAAATAACCATCCTTGTCGCAGTTTGGGAGAAACAGATCCTGAGGGCGTCTCTTCCAAAATATCGCTTTCAATGCATTTCGTTTCTTCCAACATGGCGGCTCTATAAGCAATTCAAAAAGGAATTGAATGGATAGAGTTTGGGCTTGAATTGCTGGCATTTTACCTCCTAGGTTATTTTATATACTTTCAGGAAAAGATGAAAGTATGAAAGTTTTATTCCTGGTTTACTCTAAATTCTTTGCGATAACATTAATTCGAAGAGCATGAGTCAAATTGCTGGAAATTAAGAGAACAAAGAACTCGGTAACACTTAAGGCCGTAGCCGTAGTCTTAAGGCGATTCTCCATTACCGTTCGCTTCATCCGCGCGGGCGAAGCGTCTTTTGAAAATCGGCCCATGGGACCATGACGGGTCTGGAAAACAAAGCGCGCTTCACCCGCGCAGGCGGAGCGGACGTAATGAGAATCGCCTTTAAGGGTTTCCACTCATCGCATGCATATATAAGTACCGCCACTGGTTGAGAGAGAGATAACTGGACACAACGAGCAACAACACTAGTGAAGAGCCCACTATATATCTGGTGGGATAGCGTACGTAGAGGCTAGCGATGTGGAATTCGTCCAACTGGCTCCACGTTTATATTCTCTATCGCTAGACTAACTTCTAGCAACCTTTTCAAATTGGCTTTTCTCACATACAACATACTGACATCATGTAAATAAACTAGTTAATGCTTGCCTGGTATGGTTGACTGCGTTGTAAATTGAGTTATGCTTTTGGGGTTGTTGATTGAGATGTTGGCCGTGTTCTTCTTGTTAGCAATAAATTTATTCCTTTATGACTCGAAACAGCGAGCAATGATTTCAAGCAGCTTGGTAAAGCTGAACCCCTGTAAAATCTTGAGGTGCGTTTCCCTGTGTATTTATCAACACAAAAGCTGCCTATCATTGGGTTACTTTGTAAAGGTCGAAAATATCCATCTTTGTCGCAAACTGGCAAGACGAAGTCTGCAGGAAAATTTCCACCGAACGTTCGCTTACTTTTTCTTACTCGCTTCCAGCATGGAGGTTCTACGAAAAATTGTAGAATAAAAATATATATTTTTACACCTGATCTGTAGTAAAATTGTTTTTAAAAGCTTGGTTCGCATATGCCACTCTCATCGTGTCTATAAAACCTTGTATATATGTTGTAACTTGATGATGATGATTTTGTAATAAAATCGAAATATCATGAGCTCATGCATCTTTGTCTTGTGTTAACCTGAATAATTTGAATTTCAAGATGTAAATCACCTAGTTTCAAGCTATGCCTATATAGGCACATAAGTTAGATGCTCACACTTCAGAGTCGTTAAGTCAAACCATGCAAAGTATTTACTGCCGTAGGCTGGTCACTCAGAGGGATTTTTTTTTGTTTCGAACGTTGCCCGAATTTTTTGATTCTCAAAATTTTGGGCGGTCAGCTGCCATGCCAGCTGTCCCCCCTGGCCCGCACATGCACCTATGATGTGGAGTACACGCGGAAAGTTGATACGTGTGCAGCGAGCTTTATAGAACATTTCTCATTCGACTATGACTGAAATGGAATGGCTCTATAACAAACCCATGAGTAAAATTTTATTTTAACGAATAAAACCCCAAATGCTCACCTGGTGCGGTTGAATGAGCTGTAACCGGCAGCAACCTTTGCGTTGTTGATTGAGATGTTGGCATTCTTCTTGTTGGCAATGACTCTGTTTCTCGACTTGAAACAGTGGCCGCCAATTTCTGGCAGTCAGCTGACAAAAGACCTTCTTGGGAAGATTTCGAAGTTGGTTTTCCAGTATATTTATCAACACATTGACATCCCATTAATGGAGCACATTGCAAAATTTTGAAATACCCAACTTCATCACAGTCTGGATATACAAAGTCTTCGGGAATGTTGCTACCAAACATTTCTTTATATTCTTTCACCTTCTTTAAACATGGAGGTTCTACAAGAAAATGAGGAAATTAACTGTAACTATATATATTTCTACGTATACTGTATATATTAATTAATATATGTATTCGAATAAATGCGTGTAAAGATTTACATTTCAAGTGTCACATTTTAAACTTCGTTATAAACTGATGAACAGAAAGAGTGGCGTCATAAATCTTTTGCATACGTCAGGATAAGAATCGTATACGACTAGTCGCATCGTCATGCAGATCAGCCTGAACAGGTTATTTTCCGAATAATGACATTTCAGCAACACGTTAGCTACTTGCAATATAATGGTTAGCACATAGCGCGTTGCTGAAATGAGGATTGTCAAATGTTAATTGTTAAAGGTAAAAATATGAAAAAAATCTCATAACAGTAGTGAGTTTCCGCCCCTCTTAAATCGAACTCGAGTTACTCGACAACTCCAATACGTAAGACAGAAGTTGCTTTAATTTCAGACTTTGTCTCGTGTCTTAGTAATTCTATTATAACAAGGCGGCCATCTTTGATTGCGAAATCCTGGCGATATGCATAGTAATTAATATCCTGAATTTCTCGTGATGCCCACCTGGTGTGGTTGAATCAGCTGTTGTTGGAGACAACCTTTGCGTTGTTAATTGAGATGTTGGCAGTCTTCTTGTTGGCAATGACTCTGTTTCTTGATTTGATACAGTGACCACCAATTTCTGGCAGTCCACCAAAATACCTTCTTGGGAAGCCTTCGATGTTGGTTTTCCAGTATATTTATCAACACATTGGCATCCCATCAATGGAGCACATTGCAAAAGTTTAAAATATCCAACTTCATCACAATCTGGATACACAAAGTCTTCAGGAAGGTTGCTACCAAACATTTCTTTATATTCCTTCACTTTCTTTAAACATGGAGGTTCTAAGAGAAAACCAAGCCAACATATTGTAGGTTATAACTAATGAATGTTCCGGGGTTTAAGAATTAAAGAGAGTTAACTTGATCAGGAAAAAGCATAATCCATTAAAGATGATAAATTATATCGCATCATAAAACCCAAGATATAGGCGTTTTGAATTTTCCGGACTATATTCTACAATTGTCTATAATGGATGGCTTGAATGGCTTTCTAGAGCCAGACCCGTCACGAGTAAAATTTCCATATGACATACAGCGGCATCAGTTTAATGAACTTAACCGCCAATTCTCACCTGGTGCGGTTGAATGAACTGTAATTGGAGACAACCTTTGCGTTGTTGATTGAGATGTTGGCAGTCTTCTTGTTGGCAATGACTCTGTTCCTTCATTTGAGACAGTGACCACCAATTTCTGGCAGTCAGCTAACAAAAGACCTTCTTGGGAAGATTTCGAAGTTGGTTTTCCAGTATATTTATCAACACATTGACATCCCATTAACGGAGCACATTGTAAAATTTTAAAATATCCAACTTCATCACAATCTGGATAGACAAAGTCTTCGGGAAGGTTGCTACCAAACATTTCTTTATATTCTTTCACTTTCTTTAAACATGGAGGCTCTACGAGAAAATGAGGAGAACAAGATATAAGTCTAGCAACTGAATTAAGTAGAGTTAACTTGATTCTACTCTGCATTATAATTAATCCTACATTAGAGACAACTTTTTCTGATGAGAAACATAGGAAACCCAGACAAATGAGTTGAAGTTAATAAAAATCCGTAAAACACTTGAGATATGTGTTGAAATGAATTAAAGTATATATGTAATTTGCTACAAAACTACTGTTAGAACCATGTATGCAGCGTGCTCCAGTGGCGCTGCCATTTGACTATGCAACTAGCGACGTAACTTACTATATTATTGGGTCGCTAGTTGCATAGTCAAATGGCAGCGCCACTGGAGCACGCTACATACACGGTTCTAACAGTAGTTTTGTAGCAAATTACTTATACTTTAATTCATTTTAACACATATCTCAAGTGTTTTACGGATTTTTATTAACTTCAACTCATTTGTCTGGGCTTCCTATGATGAGAAATAAGTAGCGGCTCTTCGATCAGTTTTGTAATTTGAAAGTTTTGGTTTGGTATATATTAAAAGGAGGCTGTACAAGTAAATCGGAAGAAAAAAAAAAAGAGACAAAGTCGGGTTATCTATCAGGCATATATGACGAGAACAAATCGTGTTTTAAATATAACCAGAACTTTGTGGTAATAAACATGCACTGTAACATGGGCTGTTTCCACTAGTGGTGCCGTATGAGCTGATAAACACTGAGTAGCTCAGCCAACCAGATTGTGTAACTGCTCGATCATATACGGCAAGTAAATATATTATTATTCGGAATCTGCATGCGTGTCTGACACCAACGACAGAAGGACATTTTTTTGTATACCTCGGATCAACAAACACTCACCTGGTGTAATTAATTGAGTTGTACGTTGGATCATACGTTCCGTTGTTGATTGAGATGTTGGCAGTCTTCTTGTTGGCAATGACTCTGTTCCTTCATTTGAGACAGTGACCACCAATTTCTGGCAGTCCAGCAAAAGACCTTCTTGGGAAGACTTCGAAATTGGTTTTCCAGTATATTTATCAACGCATCGGCATCCCATCAATGGAGCACATTGCAAAAGTTTAAAATATCCAACTTCATCACAATCTGGATAGACAAAGTCTGCAGGAAGATTGCTACCAAACATTTCTTTATATTCCTTCACTTTCTTTAAACATGGAGGCTCTACGAGGAAACCAAGACAACAAATGTAGAGCTATAACTGATGGATCGAATGTTCCGGGGTTTAAGAATTAAAGAGAGTTAACTTAAGCAAGAAAAAACAATCCATTAATGGTTATAAATTATATAGCATCATAAAACCCAAAATATGGACGTTTTAAAGTTTGTATATAGAGTATGCTACATTCGACTATGTCCTGAATGTGCGTGGCTTTCTATAACAGACACGTCACGAGTAATATTCCCATATGACATGCAGCGATATAATTTTAATGAACCTATATAACCACAAAAATCGCAACAAAATCCACCAAATCGTAGAACTATAACTGATGGAAGTTCAGAGGTTTCAGGATTAAAGAGAGTTACTTGATAGGCTACAAAATGAAACGTTATCTATGCATGAAAAATAAAGATGATAATATATCAGCGTCTTGAAACCCAAAATAAATTAAGAAGAGAATTACTTTCGTTTTTTTTTGCTTTAGTCCATATCAATTTTGGGATTTTGTGGATGCTAATATAGTTTTCAACTTGACTCTACTCTGCATTATGATTTCTTTTGCATTTCAGGCATCGCGTTTTGAAGTTTATAGACCATGTCTCAGTCGACTATGGCTGAAAGAGCTTTTAATAGCAAGCCCAAAGTACATGAGTAAAATTCTTTAACGACTTGGATGCATTATTTTAAAAAATAAAACCGCCAAAATCTCACCTGGTGCCGTTGAATGAGCCGTAACTGGTAGCGACCTTTGCGTTGTTGATTGAGATGTTGGCAGTCTTCCTGTTAGCAATGACTCTGTTTCTTGATTTGAGACAGTGACCGGCAATTTCTGGCAGTCAGATAAAAAAAGACCTTCTTGGGAAGCTTTCGATGTTGGTTTTCCAGTATATTTATCAACACAATAACATCCCATCAGTGGACGACATTGCAAAAGTTTGAAATATCCGTCCTTATCACAACTAAGACTCGCAAAGTCCTCAGGGAAGTCGTTCCCAAACCTTTCTTTATCTTTTCTTGCTTGCTTCGAGCATGGGGGTTCTGTGTATCAAAAAGGTTAAAAAAAACTGAAAATTAATTTGCACTGGTATATATAAAGCAACGTTTCTCGGTTCAACTCATATATTCATTAATATTAATAATAAGGTTTAAGGCTCAAAATTATGTCAGTATACAGTTAAAGTATATTTCGTCATATTTCGTACACCTTACAACCTTACAATCGAGTCTGGAATTACTATCATGCACATAATCAATCTAAATAAACCTTTTGATTCTCACCTGGTGTGATGGATTGAGTTGTACTTTTGATTGTGGGTTGAGATGTTGAAACTTTTGTTCCAGTTGTTGGCAGTGGATTTGTTACTTGGCTCGAGACGGTGGGTGATGATTGGTCACAATTTGGAATGTTTAAACCAGTAAAATATTCCGACGTATGTTTCCCAGTAAATTTATCAACGCAGTAACACCCCATCATTGGATGGCATTGAAGAGGTTGGAAATATCCATTCTTGTCACAATCTGGACTGACAAAATCTTCAGGAAAGTTGTCACCGAATTTTTCTTTATCTTCCTTTACTACCTTCCAACATGGCGGTTCAATGACTATAAATTTAAAAATATTTCAAATTCGATTCGTTCATCATAAAATTAACATATTTTCACGTCGATTCTTTCTCTGATCGATGAAATTTACAGCATTTGAAAAGCTTCTGTTAAGCTCGTGATTTTTGCTGTGTTTCTTAATTCTTAAGTCAAACTAATTCACATTTTAGTCCGAAATTAAACTAGTGAAAAGTGTTTGTGGATGGAATATTTCAACAGCCGGCAATATTGTACATAATTGTTCCACTAAATAGAGGCAGCCATTTCTGTTTTTCATACTTATTTTTTCAGGGTTATTAGGTTTGGGTGTTTTGTTCTGAGAAACTGGAAGTCATTTAGCATTCATGATGACAACATAATTGTCGGCTGTTTAATCGATACGGGAAAAGACTATAGATGACACGCTGGCTGCTACGTGTATGAGTGACATCCTTCGATATTTACAAAAAAAAATTGGATATTTTTTTCATCTCTGCCTTCAAGCAATAACGGAGCGGAATGTCAAACTAATTTTAATACGCCAGGATGAAGTCCTCTATTGCGTTAGTAATTAAATGCAGCTTCTTACCTTGTGTAGTGTCTGTGGTCGATGGGGATTTAAGTTGTGTTGCAGTACTTATGCTGGTTGTAATCTCAGATGTTGGCGATGTTCTTTCTGTTGGAAGTGACTTTATTCCTCGGTTGAGTAACCCGCAGTTTGCCACAACTGGGTCTTCCCTGGTCCCAGTATATTTATCAACACAATAACATCCCATCAGTGGACGACATTGCAAAAGTTTGAAATATCCGTCCTTATCACAACTAAGACTCGAAAAGTCCTCAGGGAAGTTGTTCCCAAACCTTTCTTTATCTTTTCTTGCTTGCTTCCAGCATGGGGGTTCTGTTTATAAAATGATTAATAAAATGCTCATACTGAAAATTTATTTGCACTGGTATAAAGCAACGTTTCTCGTTTCAACTCATATATTCATTAATATTAATAATATTGATATTTTTATAACATTAATATCGATTTGCACGAAACTTGTGTCAGTATACAGTTAATGTATATTTCGGCATTTACTAGCCATCCATAGCGGCAAATTCTAATGTTTGTGCCTGTAAATTAAGAGGAATTCGTGCAAATTCGTACACCTTACAATCGGGTCTAGAATTACTATCATGCACATAACCATGCATCTAAATAAACCTTTCGATTCTCACCTGGTGTGATGGATTGAGTTGTCCTTTTGATTGTGGGTTGAGATGTTGAAAATTTTGTTCCAGTTGTTGGCAGTGGATTTGTTACTTGGCTCGAGACGGTGGGTGATGATTGGTCACAATTTGGAATGTTTAAACCAGTAAAATATTCCGACGTATGTTTGCCGGTAAATTTATCAACGCAGTAACACCCCATCATTGGATGGCATTGAAGAGGTTGGAAATATCCATTCTTGTCACAATCTGGACTGGTAAAATCTTCAGGAAAGTTGTCACCGAATTTCTCTTTATCTTCCTTCACTACCTTCCAACATGGCGGTTCAATGACTATAAATTTGAAAATATTTCAGAAAGCTTTGCAGTATTAAATACTTACGCGGTGTACTTACAAGCTTAATTACTTATCGATTGTCACCATGCAAACATAAAAGAATATTTCAAATTCGTTCATCATAAATTAACAAATTTTCACGTCGATTCATTCTCTGATCGATGAAATTTACAGCATTTGAAAAGCTTCTGTTAAGCTCGTATTTCTTGCTTTTTTTCCTAAGTAAAATTAACGCAGGCTGATCTGATCTGCTTTTGATTAACGTTTCAGAATTTTATTCCCGCTCTCTTTTTGGCCTAATTTGAAAAAAAATGTGTACACAAACATGTTAATATCTTAGCAATCCACAAACGTTGGAAACAAGAGAAGTGATGCATGCCGGTATATATTTTTTCGGGCTTTAAAAAAGCTCTAAGGCCGCGTTGACACAATACAGGATTGCTATCGGAACAGGTCACATTTGTATTGAAGATTTTCAATGTTCTAGACCGGAATAAACATACCGAATCATTCAAATTTTAAATTAATCAGCATTTGCAAAAGTCGTTGCTTCATAACGCAAACAAAAATGTCATGACGAACGAATCCCGTACCCGTGTAAAAGAAGACTGAATCGTTGTTTAAAAACTAAATATTCATGAATATACTTTATTTTTAACAAATCAGCAGCGGTATAGGATCCTAGCAAACTGATTGGCTGCAGCAGCGGGCGGAATTTTACGATATCTGGCCACAATCCGGAATCCTAGCTATATTTTATGCTCGAGCGAAAGCAAAGCGTATTTGTTTTGTTTTTTTACAAGAAATTTTTGTTTCTCTTTTTCAAATCTTGAAGATTTATTCCTAAACTTTGACAACTTTATTTTAAAATATAAGCTTAAGGATCAAATTATTATTTTTGTCGCCATTGCTGAGTCTGGATGACTACACAATCATAATGCGAGCGAACCCCGTTCTTTGTAAAAGATAAATACGTTATTAACCGTATTGGTTGGTCCGGAAAGAAGAATATTTTCCCTCGCTCTCAAAAACGTCATTGTTGATAACTCGGAAGAATATTTTTTAATCCGGACCTCGCCGGTAAATAACATATTTATCTTTTCAGTTTTAAGATCTAATAACGAGAGAATATCATGAATATTAATTTGGTGGGTTTTTTTTATTCACCTTGTATATTCATATGGTCAAAAGTTATATAGAGGCTCTGCTGCAGCCTGGGTGTTATGTAAACTGAGCCTCAAGTTTCTAAGCGAAAATTGTGTAACTATATATGAGACTGATTTTTATATATTTTTTATTTTTATTTATATTTATTTATATTTCTTACTCGTTTTTCACCTACCGCATCGCCGCCCACCCTACTGTTGTAAAATATATATAAGTGCATTCATCATCGCTTAAAAACAACGAGGGCCTCGATTATTTGCATATTTTTCATATACTATAGACTGGAGCTAAAAAATCGCGTGCGTTACAATGTCCTTATGTCCATGTATGAACATGAGTTATTGACTGTCAAAGAAACACATAATCTTCAAAACACCTATCACTTGAACCATTCTCTTTCTATAAATTTTAATCAAAGCGTTTTAAACATTTGAATGTTCATTTAAAATACGTAATCCTCTCCATAATATTCAGCGCCAATCAAAGGTGTAGTTAGTTGCCCTAGCCAAATTCTGTAAACAGGGAAACGTCAAACGTTGCAACGTTTCAGCTCAATTGTAGGCACGTTTCAACCGATAGAGTTAAGGCTTTATTCCTCATCGAGTCAATTGGTTTGGAAAGCAAGTGTTGAATAAAAACGCCAGCGATGATTTTTTTATTCCGCATAGGAATTACTTGTTTGCGCGCAAATTGCTAGCTCGCTAAAGTTCAGTTTAAGGTCAAATTACTCACGTTTAACAAAAGACGTCGACCTTCCTTCTGTCTGGCGCATTTGAAGAAGTGTAACTGCATAAAAGAGCACAGCAGAAACCAACGATACTACGCGAACATTCATCGTTAATTCACCCTAATTCTGGCTACAAGAAGTTAAGAACCGACCTCTTCTGTAAAGTTTGCTTCCCAAATTTCTTTTATTTACATTTATGGGCGTTTAATTTGAATTTCAAGTGCGTCATTAACTGCAGCAATAACCACATGGGGTGTTTTGTTGGATAGGATTTCACGCTGATGTGGGAGAAATGCTTCCCAGCGCGTTCAATGATTGTGTGGATTAGTTGCGAACCGATACGAATTTTTTCGGAAATAACTAATTAACAGTATAAATAAATCAGAATTAAATCGAAAATTGCTTCCTTTCTATAGTGCAAAGTGAAATTATAATTTCTGTGCGCTCTCTCAGCTTCTTTCTTTCTTATTCGTATTTTCAATATGAGATAGGAAAAGGAAGTGAGATTTTTCACGTCGGTCCTGACTTGTCTTGTCTTGAGGCTCTTGACATCATATTTTTCAGCTCAAAAATCTAGGGAGTGTCTTGGAGCAAAAAATCATAAAAACGTGCGATTCACCATCGCGACACAGCCCAGAGTAATAATTTACGTCGTCTTGCTGGTATACACGCGTCATAATTAATTAATTCACAACAAGGATAGCCTATATCGTCATCCATCCACAGCATGTCAAGTGAATAAATGTATTGGATAGCTCCCAGTTTAAATCGCCCGAAAGCAAAATTTTATTAGGAACCTTTAGCATGTACGACAGGAACGCGACACAATGACGCAGTTAAATTGTTAAAACACTCCTTCAAATAAATGCTTTGTTAAAAAGCTGTTGCCGGCATTTTATCAAGAGCATGAATTTAGTGAGTCATAATTTGAAATAATTTTGTTTATTTAAGTAAAGGAAAAAAAACGAGTGAGATTCAACATATGAATCAAGCAAGACACAGTTTGAGACCTCATAATTTGTGCTGTTCATTCGAAATTTGTTTTTAATATACTTTACTTTTTTAAATTGTCGGCTGGTCATGCTCTTTGGTTTAGGTTTAGGTTCGGAACAATGCTAAAGAGGCTGGAGCCCTTTTTAAGTAGCGCTCGCTGCAGCATTTGAAAGGCAGATGCTGTACACAAGGCGTGAAAATTAAAGATTTCTAGTTGTATACAGAACGTGGACAACGTGTAAAACTCCCATGTAAACACTAGCGGATGTTTTTATGTAACGTCCGCGTCGTAGATTTGGTGCATCTTAAGGCCCACTGGATGCAAGTCGTTAACGCGACGCGAATATTCCATGTTCAGAAGCAAATAAATTCAACTCTCAAAGAATATTTTAAGAGATATGGGTCCCAGACCATGCACTCAAATGTGTTATCATTCACCAAGGATAACATGCATGACATTATCAAAGTTAGCAGCTGCCGTCATCGCCTTGATAACTGCCGTCGTCGTGTTTGCGTCCTAATTAATTTGGATATCAACAACGTGAAGTTGGCAAAGTTTGGCCCTGTTTGGCCCTCAGGTGTCGCTCGTAAACAATAGTGGAAACATAAATCTTTAGATGATGATTGCAAACTTAAGGAAAAATTTAATTTAATCTCAGGTGGCGTAGTTTTTCACGCGCATTGTGTAACCATATCTCCGGGACGTGACTAGTTTGTGTCATCATGCTGTGTGAGGAATAAACAGCCTAATTAACATTTTTGCGCAAAGTGCTCCTATAACAACTGGTATATTAAAGCATCCCATCAGGCGATAATGATTGTTGGAAATATGACTGCATGCAATATTTCTAGTTTTACGTTTTCATGTCATATCAAAGTACTATTCAGACAGTTTTCAGCTTATAAACGCAATCTTCTGAATTTCTTGCGCTCTCGTCAGCGAAGTTGGCATTTGCACCTAATATAAAAGTATAGTTCCAAATTTCTCAGCATTCTACAGTTCAATCTCAAGTCACAATCATTTCGTCGACGCGTATTCATTAATGTCGGCAGAAGTGACGTCAAATCATGACACGGTAATCAGAATGAGTGCGTTTATTATTTTGTTGTTCCATTACATTCTGGTTTTTGGCTTGGTAGCAAACTGCAAACATGTGCAATTTTCACCTTTGTGGGAACCGTTTGTGCTCTGTAGCAAATCTAATAAAAAACTGAGGCTAATAAATTGCTAATTTGTATATTTGTACACTTATATGTTAGGCATATTATATGTCGCTCTAAATGAGAATTCAAACACTGACGATATACCATCGCTTTTTCACCGGTAATGACGAACGATATTGACAATATGGCCTGGCTTAATTTCGCGTTAAATGTTAATGTTTACAATGAAATCATCATCTATTCTGATGCGAAACTTCAGTGCACAAATGACAATTTCAGATTTAACTATTCACATCGAACCATGCGAGTGCCTCTAATAACCAGCTGTTGAACAAACACGCCTAAAAACGATGAGATTGATTGCATATAAACAGGATTGTACAATGCGGCATGCGCTGCCCATAATGTCCAAAGCTGTTATCAACATTGAACTATGTTGTTAAACTGGATTTACTTTCAACAATGCTATTTAATGTTGTTGCAAGTTTGAAATATGTGGGCAGCATAACATGGTTCAATGTTGTTAAACCGTGGGCTCACTCTGGGGGTAGATCACGATTACCGTTTACCGCTGCTAGACGATTGTCTCTGCCGCCTGACACGAGCTTAAATTGCATAAATTTGACTTATTACAGAAGAATTAATCAAGTATATGGATAAGACAAGGAATATCTCAATTTTATTCAAATCCTTACGACCTATTTATTTCAACACTCCAACAATCTAAAGTTTCACACACAATATGCATTGCACTTCACCTAAACCTTTTCAACATGAAGGCTTTAACTGGCTAAATCAAAAAATAATCTCAAGAGCCTCGTCGAAAACGATCAGTTTTCCCCTTAAACGTGAATATTTAGGCTTGTAGCCAAAGTGATTTGTCATTAAGACGAATATTTTTGTCAGTTGTGAACAGATGTCCAACCTACAACTTAATTCTAACAAAGCTATTAGACATGCATACTCCAACGTAATTCCCTGGTGTCCAGAGGCCGCATGGAGTTTTTATGATTTCTAATTTGCAACGTATATTATACAGGGTGCCAAAAAACCCCTAAAACTAGTTGAATTCACCCATAACAATGTAATAGTTAGAATTTGATTGCCCTTATCAATCAAGCACCCTGTTGAGCCCTACAAGTCTATTAATGTTGACATAAGCATTTTTATGCATGATGATAGCTAAGGCCTAGGTTATACGTCGCATTTTGGTCGCGTCGAATGCAATTCACACAATAGATGATGAGCTGATTAACCTCACTAAGTTCCATTACCATCTCATTATCTATTGTTTGAATTCCATTCGACGCGACTAAAATCCGACGTATAACCTAGGCCTAAGTTTGCTCGCCACAAACAGTGGTGTAGCCAACCTGACGATTTTGTCCTGCTATGTAAATTTTATGTTATTATCATTATTCATATCTTTAGAAATTCATTGTTTTCACAGTCAATAAACACCAAAATATTATATAGCATAGCATGACTAAATTGTTTGGCTGGCTACGCCACTGCCCACAAATTATCTTTATTAAAAATATTTACGCTTTTCATATGAATAAAAATATTTAAATGACCATGACCTTCGACATGTTCCTCGTCTTTGGCAAATTTTCAATTTTTGCCGATTTAGCATTTTATAAGTTAATCCTCACGGGCAAATTTTATCAATAGGCAATTTCGTTGTTAAATCTTGTTAGCTGAGCCATAATTTTACTATAATTTTAATTCACTTTGTGTGCTTATTTTGATAGTATACTGCACGTGGAAACGTATTCTCAAATCCCAGACTGAGCGTAATATTAGTTGCACAGCTATTGAAATTCTAATGCATGTTGCCCAATCATCAGTATCCATGCACATACAGGACCGACACTTGAATACAAATGCATATGGAGTAATCAAGTCATGAAAAGAGGATTTTACATTTTTATTTATTTATCCCCCTATTTCATTTTTAGAGAGGGACAAAATGGGAAAACAATTTTCAATATATCATTACGACCTATCGATAAGGCCTAGTTCATACGTCGCATTTTGGTCGCGTCGAATGCAATTCAAACAATAGATAATGAGATGATAAGCCTCATTTAGCCTCATTACCATCTCATCATCTATTGTTTGAATTGCATTCGACGCGACCAAAATGCGACGTATGAACTAGGCCTAATAGTTCGCCTTACTTCGCAGTACAAACACTTTTCCGGCAGTAAATACTATCAACACATGCATCACCTTTTTTGCTTTCTTGACATAAAACCTTTCGCATAGAAGAGCTAGTGTTGACAACATAAAAAAATTCGGACGTGAGCCACAGCAGGAAACGCGGCTTTAGGAAGTTCTCGTTCGAAAATTGTCCGATAGGGAAACGCTTCTCATTGGAATTAGAACACTTTTACTTTTCTCTTATCTATATTTCCATGTGGGAATGCTTCTTCAGCTGCCTATAGCATGTATATATATAAATTGTTTAGCCGCAATTATATATTTGTTATTTAATATAATAAATCGTCTAGCGGGCATTGGTTTAGAAAATTAAAGAGTTCTGCAATCAAGAATTCTGAGATTTCTGTTGAACGATGCGCGTCCGTAGCCCAGAAGACAGGGCTGTAGCTTAGATAGCTTAATTAGAGGGGAGTGCATATTCGCCTTATGCCCTACTGATTTCTTCGGAAAGCTATTGTTTCTACGGTATGTGAAAAAGAAAATAGGCACCCTCACTACCATTACGTCTATAGCTACGGCCCTGCTTGTGCCTATAATACATCTTGATAATAACAACAACCTGTTAAAATCATTCATATATCAAAATCGTGATTTCGTTTTGACAATTTGAGCATTCGGGAAAACATCACTCGTCGCCGTATACGTGTCCTGGCTCCGGAAACGTCGCATATCATAACACCCCCCACAGAATGAGTGAGTATATATAGACTTCCAGAATCTTTACAACTGAACAATCTCAAGTTTATTGCGAAGAAAAGAAGAGTATTACAAGATTACATGCAATAAAGATGAACCGTTTGATTATAATCCTTGCGTTTGTCTGCGTTATTTGCGCTGTTAAAGGACGCAGTTCTATGTACAAGGTAATATGTTTACTTTATCAAGCGCGTAATACTATTATAGAGCCTTAATCAACCTTGAGGTCACTAATATACATGTAATTTTTTCTTGTAATTTTACTGAAGTAAAACAAATATAATCTTGTTTATCTAACAGTGATTTTTCATTCTTTTAGGTGAAAAGAAAAATTTCCTCAGAGGAAAGATTAAGCAATGGTAATTTTTACCCCTATAGAAATTTCAAATTCAAAACAGTTGCCCATTTTAAAAATAGTCGTGTTGAATTGCTACGTATATATTTACTTATCTTGCGCAAGGCATTTGTAGAGTTAATTCAGAAACACTAAGATTGATGCTCATTTGCATGAATATATATAAAACTAGAAGATATTATCCCTGTGATTTTATAGATGCCACTGGTTCTAGACAGAAAAAAGCATATGTACTCTTTGAAAACAGAAGTGGACGAACCGTTCAGGTAGGTTTTGAATGTTTGAAGTTGATAACGCCTGGCAATAAATATGAAATAAATGTTTAAAACTGAAAACAACTAAACACTTTCAGTGAATGAAGTTTTATTAGTTTTTCACTATACATTATTCGATAAAAATAACAATAAAAAATCGTATTCCCAACTTTACATGCACAGTTGCTCTGGCGCGACTCGTCACGAGGAAAAACATGGCGAATTTTTCAACAACTCAAACCAGGAGAAACTGCGGCCATAGATACGTATGACAACCATGAATGGAAAGTCGTGGAGATAAAGCATCGAAAATCATTGACAATTAATGATGCGAAGATTTTCACACCAACTGCCAACACGAGGAAAGCACGAACTGTGTGCATCATAAAACAACCAGGACTACCAGGTACTGTCATTATCTTGCATTTATCTAAGACAGAAACGGTTCACGTGATCATAAAGTTCCGACTGAAATCACAGCTGTCAAATCATGCTTTGGCGAGGATTTTAGTAGGGCTAAGGCTTTTCTATTTTTTTATGGATGTGACCGAGTAATTAGTTACGAATGCTTTAATTGGCGTATATGAACTCTCAATTGAACATCAGTATTTAATAATTTCACTCGTTCACATCAATTAAAAGAAGCCGAAAACCGCAAATGAAATCGGAATATAAATTGCAAGTGTAAACTCTCCTATATTCGCAGGACAGAGTATAGGGGTAAAATAGGCCTGCTTCATGCAACCTGTGTTTAACTAACCCATTTTCAAACACAGTGTACTTAGATAGTTAAATAGTTAAATAGTTAGCCATTTTACCGCCTGCGATCCAGGTCAATTTACATACACGAATCGAGACCTATTGTGCTGCTTTTTATTTCTCGGAAATTATCGTGAACAGCCGGTCAAGGCAGTTGATAAACTTGATATGTATATTAGAATATTACTAACAGCAAATGGCCATTTAAATACAAATGAAAAAACAGCGAAATGGTGAAAATCGAGCAATAGAAGACTGTACAAAATCTGAAGGTGGAAATTGGATAAATCTAGTTTTCCATGACCTAAAATTTAGGAAAAAATGGCTTTATGAAAAATACAGAAGAAAAATTACTATGCCAAGGTTTTTTTCGTATATTGGGCTTAGAAACTGTTTTTAATTTGGATTGACTATGTCATAGTGAAACCTGACAATTTCATCAATTTCTTAAAATATTTTTCTCTTTTAGGAAATTCGCAGACCATACAAGACCGGGTGATAGGTAAAAAGGATTTTAGTCATATTATAACTGTGCATGGTTCTGGCTGAATAGACCTTTTCGGTAATTGCATCACTATAATATTATGAAAAATACAGAAGAAAAAATTAATATGCCAAGGTTTTTTTCGTATATTGGAGCAGGAACTGTTTTTAATTTGGATTGACTATGTCATAGTGAAACCTGACAATTTCATCAATTTCTTAAAATATTTTCTCTTTTAGGAAATTCGCAGACCATACGAGACCGGGTGATAGGTAAAAAGGGTTTTAGTCATATTATAATTGTGCATGGTTCTAGCTGAATCGACCTTTTTGGTAATTACTGTACGTCACAACATTTTAACGTCACAAAGTTTTAGATTTAGGACCACCTTCAACGAAATGGATTTCAAGTTTTACTCTCACAAGCTATGTGCAACGATGCAAAACATCCTTCTTCAACACCTGCATAAAAAAGAATTTTTCATTTTGACAAATAAGTATGGAAATAAACCATAACGCGAGAACGGTGCATGCATGAAAATGATATGAAATGGTATCACATATGAAATTATTTCACATGTGAAATGTTTCATATATGAAGTACGTGTTTCAATTCCACACAAGGTTTCACATGTGAAATGATTTCACATATGAAAGTTTTCACATATGAAATGATTTCACATATGAAAGTTTTCACATATGAAATGATTTCACATGTGAAATGTTTCATATATGAAGTGTTTCAATTCCACACAAGAGTTTCACATGTGAAATATTTCATATGTGAAATTGTCATGTGAAATCCTCGTAAGGGATGACTTATTTCCACATGTATTGGTTAAAGTAAGAAATCTTTTTCATGCATGTGTTGAAAAAGGATGTTTTGCGTCTTTGCACATAGCTTGTGAGAGTAAAACTTAATTGAAATCCATTTCATTGAAGGTGTTTCTAAATTTAAAACGATAATGTTGTGACGTAATTACGAAAAAGGTCTACTTGCACTCTCGAGTTATATGCATACTCTCTCTCGGTCACCTGTTTGTCGCCTGGTTTTATTGCAACTTTCAAAGTTATAGTTCATGCATATATAGTTGCATGTAATAAAGAACGAAGTATTATTGTTGTTAACCTGTCTCTTTCAGATGAAAGTAAACGGGATAAAGAAATAAAGAAAATAAAGAAATTTGTCACAAAGAAATTTGTCGAGACACTGGTTGTTGTCGATAAAAGCGTTAAGAATAGATTCGATAACGAAAGTGAAGCTGAACGATATATTAAAGTCTTGTTTAGCTTGGTAAGTTGATTGGAACATTCTTTTGAATGCAAGCATGCAAATCAATTAAGAATATGCTAAAATATGCCTGATTATGGATCGCCTCTAATCTTGAAATCCTTAGACTTAAATTTATATAAGTTTATAATATATTTCTGTCATTCTGTCGTCGAAATAAAGCAAGCTAGTATCCTCGAAAAAAATACTCAGTAAATGCTAGTATGTTGGTATCTAGTGCCACGCTGGACCATGCAGTAAATTAATAATTGCCATGCAGTAAATGAATAATGAATATAAAAGTCTCAAGCTTGAATTAACATTGATTAGGATTTAGGACAACCACAAATACCGCAATTGCCAGAATTTTTTTTAGTTATTTAAATATATTTTAAAATGCTAGCCCTATAGTATAGACTCCCCCTTTTTAATTGCATGGCAACTGAATCTTCTTTCCTCTTTTAGACTACACATGTATTTCACCATGGCAGTCTAACTCAACATGGGTTGGAAATTTTTGTAGTTCCATCTAAAATTATATTTCTCGAGGTGAGAAAGGAGAATTTTTGTACAAGCGCTTGGGTTCACTATAGATAATGTAATAGTTATTTTGAAACGCATTTTGCAAAGCCTTTGAATGAATACTTTAACCATAAACATTAAGCCAATTAATGCATGAAACTGTCGAATGCGTATAGTAACAGTGCCGGATCTAGGGGGTGTGCAGAATAAATTACACAGATTAATTTTAAAAATTCAAAACACCTTAATAACAACACTATTGGTGTATAAACTTTAGTAAATTAATCCGCACAACACTGGATCCGCCATTGTATAGTAAATACATTAAAACTGTAACTTCGCCGACCTCCGTGGATTATGTTGCTTCCTCTCCAGCTTCCTATATAGTATCTCTTTAAACACTGTAAAAATGGACATTCTTAAAATGGGTACCAGGGATTCATTGATTCAACTAATTTTTTATTGGTTGAAACAACTGAAAACGTGGTTAAAACAATCAAATTTTCATTCTTTTTACCAAAAAAATGATAGAAAAGGAATGAAAATAGGCGAGACAACAAATTTTCAATTGCTTGTTTTGCAATCTGTTTTTACAGATTTACTTGTAATTTACCTTCGGATTTTAGTCAATGAATATTATAGGCAGAAGGCAGCTACAAGTAGCCGTAGTACCATCCAGATTGGAAGCATTTTCTTTTGCCTCGAATTTTATGCCTACGTCAGGGTTACTGGAAAAAAAAGATCAGGCAAAAATCAATCAACCTATTTTTTTCAGGATGAAATAAAGTTCAACGTAGCAAACACGGATAAGTGGGATACAGCTTGTGGTCGAATGAATGACATTGCAAAAAATGAACCCAAAAAATATGATCACAAGTTATTTTTGACAAGGTATAGTTACAAACTTTTTTTCTTATTATATTATTACTTGTTATGTTAGGCTAGGTTTGCAAGTTCTTTTAAAGCATGGGTGCATATATAAATGCATAACAACGCACCTGACAGAATTATTAATAAAAATATTCATTTCTCATAATAGGAGATCATTCGGTGCAGCAAGTAAGTTCATTTTTTTAAACTTATCTAAAACGGCATGTTGTTGAGGTTCTTAATTTTTCGTTTCATATATTTCTTAATTCCCACGATTTCTCCACAAAGCGAGCCTGAGGTAGCTGCATCAAAATTGCTAAGCCGACGGCGTGATCAATTATTAGACTCTTTAAATTATAGTGACATGATAATCCCCGAGCCGGTGCGGAGCACCGTGCGAGGGTACTAATTCCGCCCGGAGATTAGGAATTACACCAGGGACCCGGGAGAACATAGCGGAGTCCAAAGTTGCCCAATTGTCATGGACGTTTAATGGTCATGGTACTTGTGCGCATGCGCGAAATGTGAACGAGTGTAGACTGGTAATCAGCAACTTCACGAAACGTTTGTGTTTCAGTGAAAATCGTCAGCAATTTAACTGTCATTTTGCAAACTATTTTTTTAAAAAAATGTTTCGAAAACAAAATATGAAATGTGGAATCAAAAAACAGATAAAACACTGGGAAGAGTTTAAAATATTATCAGAACTGGAGGGATTAGCGGTGAAAAGGAACAACTCGATTATAATCCTTGAAATGGTAGGAGTCTATTTTGTTTATTTCGAGGTTTATTTCGTGTTTGCTGTACGAATACATTTTATGACCTTGGTACAGTATGTCGTTTTGCTCGGTTTTGCGAAGACGTGACCGACCATTTAAAGCTTTATATCATCGTTTTAACTTCCAAAAGAGTCCATAAAAGTGTAATTCGGAGTTTTAATATAACAAATATCACTTTAAAGGTTTATATATAGTCGACTGCAATCACTGCACGAATTTAATAATCGAAAAACAACATTCGACGTTCACTGCTTGGTTATTCATATTATTTGGGCTGTTTTGATGTTTTGAAGGTTTAGCTATAATGAAGTATTAACTCTCACTTAAACTGTGAAAGTCTACAACTTAATGCAACGGAAAGCAGCAGGAAAACGGGTGATTTCACTTCACCTTTACGACTGTGTTTGTTTCCGAAATATTTGAAACATCAGCTATCGGCTTTACATTTAGGACATTTCATAATAATGAAGGTTAGGTCTGGCTAGCTCAGGAAATATTTTGCTTCGTTTGAAATGGCGAGGCGTTGCTGCATGCATGTATTTCTAGTTATATATGTGTTGTCTAAAATTAATGGCAAGCATATAGCTATAAGTGTAGGAAGACACATCGGCAAGGGCAAGTGCACGAATCAACAGTTGGTCGAGAGCAGGAAAAAAATTAGAATTGAAGCCTTTACATTTTGGAAATTGCAACTCATCCCTATATTGAATGTATTTGGTGCATTAGCGTGTTACCATTGCCTAAAAATTCGTACAAATATACGGTGCATGTACGGTGTCAAACTTTATAGCCATACCAGAAAAACGTTACCAAAGGAACTTCGATATAGGTCATTGATTTACAAGAAACAATCAGGGGCAAATTAAATATTGAATGATTGTTTCAAATTACGGAGATCTGCATATTCCATTTCCGCGATTTCTCACCACAGTTGTTCACTTTATTTCTTCCTTTAGCATTAATTACTAATAAATTAATAATTATTATTATTAATTACAATTTCATAAATGATAGAGCGAAAAAATTCAGTAAAACATTTAAGGTGTATTTATCTGTAAATATAGGCGAACACGTATATACCGCCGTAAAGCCATTTGTAACTGAGGTCCGTGCAATCGTGCTTCATTATGTCGGGCCCTGGCTTACTATCGATATATATAGCAAATTATTTTTTACTTTCTACAGGTCTTGGAAAGTTGAACGGAATGTGCAACCAGCCAGAGAGTTGCTCATTAGTATATGAGTTCGGGTTTTCCACGATATTCCCCATCGCTCATGAGATAGCACATTCGTAAGTTGGACACTATATTTCACCGTTTCAACTCATAACAATATCATATAGGAGAAGCCGTATTGTAAAGTGGTATCATGCCCTCGCGATGGGTATACGATAATATTCTATGCACTACACAAGCGAATTTTCAATTCTCTTTGAAAATTCCTGTTCGCGTTCTTGTGTATTTTCCTGAGAATATGCGCCCAATAATTATTACCATTAGTTATATGACAAAATAATTATTGGGCGCATATTCTCAGGAAAATACACAAGAACGCGAACAGGAATTTTAACAACAAGACATTAATATTCATATTGCACCATGTAACTTTTCTATGCAGACAACAAATTTTTATTTTAAAAAATTGATATGGTATTTTTTGGATTAAAAAGTGTTCAAATTTTTCAAACGTTTTTAAATGGATAAGGCTTTTAGCTGATTAAGTATAAACTTATAGTTACGAAAAAAGTAAAATTGAACAAACAGAGTTGGAGTAAAAATCGTTACGAAAACAGCATATTTTTGCGTCTGTTGCTTCCTTAAAATAACTTGAAAATCCACATTTAGGCCTGTTTTAGACGTCGAACTTTTCATGTGCCGAACCTAATGTTAATGAGCTAAAGTCTTTGTTTAAGTTCATTTGCATTCGATTCGGCACATGAAAAGTTCGACTTCTAAAACAGGCCTTAGTTATATACATATAATCAAAATGCACGTTTCTTTTCATTAGCTTGCAGCACCATCGTCATATCAGGCTGCCGCTACGCCACTGCATGCACGTAGGCATTTAATACTGCAAAGCTTTCGGTCCGTTAACCCAGGCATTCATCAGTGCAATTAATTGATAACACATCTATACGTCACATAAATACAACGACAAACGTGGTATTTATGTGGTATTTAAGTGACGTGCATGTGGAATATGTGTTTTCAAGTATTTGCACTCATGAAGGCCCGGGTTAACGGACTGAAAGCTTTGCATATAGTATTATTAGTATTATTTAGGTGCCTGCAAAATGCAGCTTTGCGGTGTCATATCCCCTTGAACTGATTTATATACCTTTGTTTTTAGGCTAGGTTTGTCAGACGTTTACTCCAAGCCATTCTCTACTTTCATTATGGCGAATGTTATGTTCGCCAAATTAACTAATTACAGCTGGGCACCCGAAAGTCAGAATGCTTTACTCAACAACACCAGGTTAGTCAAGGCAGGTACTCGTTAAGTCGGTTTTCAACCAGGCTGAATTTTGATCGGATAAGGGAATCCGAAAATCGAAAATTTCCATTTAGTATATAAAAACTGCCATCTTTCAGTGATTTTCTACTAGGCGGATTTCTTCAGTTAGCTAACTGAAGCGAATTTACTTGGCCGATCAGTATTGCCGTTAAGCCTGGTTTCCAATTAGTCGTAGATGTCGTGAACATTTCAAGGTGATGATGCGATAGAATATTTCTATTTATGTGCAGATTTCTATTTGAGCACAAGAAAAAATAGAAAAATTCACATCTGGATCGACTATTTGTCTCATCTGTTAAAACGAGTTGGTCACGACAGTTACGGCAAAATGAAGACCATATATATTAACTTCTGTTGTTGCGAAATTTACCAGAATTAATAATGAAATATATAGTTATAAAAAAGTGTTCGTGATTTTTATTTTACAGAAACGGTTTTTCGTGTCTTGATAATGAACCCAAAATCACAGCACTGAATGACGAAACTGATTACAAACGTCCCGGTTTATACTTCTCCTTTGAAAAACAGTGTGACTTGGAATATGGCAAGGCGTATACAGCATGGACAACGACCAAGTCACAGGTTGGTTTGGCAAAATCTTATAGGTATTAATGATCTACGGGCGGAGCTGCAATCTCAGTTGCATTTTTTGGCTTTGTGATCCCATACGTCTTCACAACCGTGGAGGCAAACATATCCCGATGGTCGATATGCTTGTAATATTCATCATATATTCATGCAGCTATATAAATCAGAACCTTGATGCAATTTTAAGAAGGGAGGAGAAAAGCGGGAAATTGGCTGGAAATTTTTGGTGACATAACCTAAATGTTGTTGGATGTTCAGACCACACAACGTATTTCATTAATGATCAAAGCTCAAAATGTAAACAAACCGTACAAAAAGTTGCGTCAAATCTTCGAATTTTTCCCACCAACCAGTCCCAAATAAAATATTTTCGTTATACTTCCCAGGTTTTGGGAAGCACGTGACCTACCAGTACCCGGGTCTTTACTGCAGGTAATGAAGGCCCTGGGTACGAGATTTGTCTCACTCCAGCTCTTTCCCACGGATGTAAACTTTACCATACTAATAACATTCGATAATCTTTTACTTAAGCTGACGATTGTGTGAAACTGAGATGCAGGATGCAGGAGTATTTTCGCATCTCATCAATCGTCTGGCTCTCCTGCCCTTGATGGAACGAATTGCGGGGAAAACAAGGTAATCTTCATTATACATTTTACGAAAGAAAGTGCTCGATGTGCTCCTCATACAGGAACTGAGCATTTAACAAATCTCTGACGACCCTAAATAAAGATTATGTTTCTTAATTTTGTAGTGGTGCATATCTGGTAAATGTCAGGAAAAGTCACCCAGTAATCTAGTCATCGCAAAATAAATTCTGGAATGAAAAGAAAACTCTGTGTTAGTTTACTAATAATCGGAAGAATACGTTTTTATTGAACCGACCCAGCATATAACAATTATTATAGGTATGCTACGATGCTTTATGAAGTAATTTAGGTGCACCTATACTGTTGCATTTCCATAATCATGTAATAATCATATTGTGATAACCTTTTATAAACCTATACGATTCTGCTCAAATTACACATCGCTTTGAATAAACAAGGAAAACAAAGCCACCACGTTTTGTCGTAAATTTTTTAACTTGGAAAAAGTAAATTAATTCATCAGCGAAGTCTGTAGCAAAATGGTATTGATGAATGATCTTCAGGAAATTCAGAAAAGCTGCTCCTTTCGTAATTTTTTTGCCGCATAATTTTTTTGCATTTCTGCACTTTCTCAAACGATCTTCTTAGCCCGTATACTGTTTGTTAGGCCTCTGCTGTTTCTATTCGGCAACTTTTGAAGAACTTTTAAAGATTTTAACAACTGTTCTGGTTTCGAGCAATCTGGAACATTTTTTCCTATATTTTGAAAACAGGAAGAAAGTTTTAGGCTTTTACACGCTCCATACTGTTAATTTCTCACAAATTATTTAAATAAATCTCGACCGTGTTTATTAATTTACAAGGACAATCTGGAGAGGCCAACTGTTAGTTCAGAGGTTGATGACGAGTAAGAATTGGAGAGTGCCATGTGATATTTATCAACTTTTAAAATCATTAAATTTTTTAACCTATCCAATTTACCATCCGCGTAGGAAGTACGGACCAGCCCTATTTTTTAGCGAAACGCTTTACCTACAGTAATTAACACAAAACTGATGAAACGAACATTAATACAAAGCTAAGTTTCCTCTATCAAGCTCCTTCCTTCGGCGACTATATGAATGAAACATGTGCAGGAAGATGGTTAATAGGCTACCCTTCTTTTCGAGAAAGAAAATTAAAAATTGTTTTCAACTCTAAGCCTTTAGAAGACTAGATCACTGGAAACACCCTATAGTTTGAGTTACCGTACTTCCAGTGTGTGTTGCACAGTGGCAATTGTAAAGATGTCCAATTTTTTGGACGAATAACAAAACCCTTTTAGCAATTGTCAGCTCTCAAACTGTTTGTAGATGGTTCAGAGCTCTTTCTCGCTTTGTCTGGATCAGATTCCTTTAGATATATCAATGATTTTACCAAACTCAAGGCAATTTATCGTTGATCAGCGTAGGCATCTCATAATTTTCTGACCTCCATAGTGTTTCCACAACTTACGGCTGACACAACCCGGACACGATCCATGCACCTACGCAACGCGACTTTTAAGAATTTATTTAAGGTTATGTAACACTGTATAGGTTATGTAACACTGAACTTGCATGACATGTGAATGTAATGATATTCTTGGTAATTACCGAAAAATAATATATTTTAATTTCTCTCAGTTCTCTGGTGCCCATAAGTCCACAACTCTCAAAACGCTCTTTCAGAAATGAATACATTTGCGTCTGAAAATGGAAAATTCGCGTCGCGCTAGCGAATAGCGTTCAGTGTTACTCTATCCAGGGCTTCCGGTGCAGGAAACAACGCGGTCAACCTTCGTCCGCTGTTTGTTTAGTCTCATGACTTAAAGTCTCAGTTACAAATCATCAGAAGTGAACGCTGAATATCAAATCGCTGACTAAACGCTTTTACCGTTGCAATTCTCGTTGTGAAGAAACGCTTGGCCGCGCCGATCGAAACACGTTGTAAGTTTAATGGTAACCTATCCACGACAATTCCTTTTATTGTTAAAAATATATATTATATCAGCCATTATTCTCATATTCATAAGTGACCACATGCACTATAACAATAAATCGCAGGGCTTATTCACTGAAACATGGCCGTAGCTAGACCACATTTGGGAGGGGGGGGGGTGGGATGTATTAATATATTCAAGTTTACAAGTATACCGTTGGAACAATAGCGTATGAAAGAAATCAGTCGGGCATAAAACGAAAATATAAATATACACCTCCCAAATAAGCTTCTAGCTGTTAAAGAATTATTGAGGAGGATACTTCAGAATAATAAATAAAAAGGCTACGAATTAATTTCTCCGATTGTCCAAAAAATCCTGTGGCTATACAAATAAATTTTTCGCTATTGAATTATGCTCGATTACAATATTAATATCAACATCTCTTTTGTTAAAATCAATTATCAAACGAGCAATAAAAATCCAGCCAAAATCTTGTCAAAATCTGCCTAGAAACGTCATCATGCATACAACGGGACAGCCTTTTATTCGCATTTAACAGTTAGTCCATATATCTTAATCCGCAGATACAGATGCTTTCATCTATTTACCCCAATATCACTCATCTTCATATGTGTGCATGTGGCCCGTCATAAATCATGACTCGCCCACAGTATTATTATATGAATATATATGTAACAGATTTCCAAGCTTTTCCAGATTTCCGAATTTTTCAGTGGAGAAAAGAAGAGAGTAACGCGAGATTTTATGCAAACAATGAACCGTTTCATTTTAATCGTACTGTACGTCTGCGTTATATGCGCTGTTAAAGGAAGCAGTTCTTTGTACAAGGTACGTTGATACATTTGATGCTACTTTTAGCTCGTATACGTATTTCTACTAATAAGCCCGTAACTAGAACGATAATTGTGTGGGGGGGTGTTTATTCATATATTCAGTTCTGCCCGACGGATTTCTTTTGTAAGTGCAATAACTCACAATGGAAATCCGTGGGGCAGAACTGAATATATATTATATAAATAAACATCCCCCAATTATCGTTCTAATTACGGCCCTGGGTGAACAGTGAACTCGGCGCCATATCCATGCTTCGTTTCAGGCCAAGCTGGTATAAATCGTATGATAATCTCTATGATAAGCGTTAATTGAGGGGAACCATATTCATATATTCTGTTATCCCAGGCTGATTTCTATTGAAAGTGAAATTGTTTTCAAAAGAAATTAGCCCTTAATATATAGAGTTACAATATTTGAATAACGTTACATGTATAATTTGAAGATATCACGCACTTTCCGACCGAAGGAAAGGTCTTACATATAATAACATTCCCCGGCGCATGTGATAGATCGTGTTCTACACTCTACACTCACGTCTGTATAATTTTTTATAACCAACGACAATGCGTCATATAGATGTCTCTTAAGAAAAATGATCTTATTATTTTTAATTTATTAATTACAACCTCTGCTGGTGCAGTATAATTTGAAGAGAGGCTTCTTTCCTCTATCTACACTCTATCACTTTCTCGATCAGCGCGTCATCTATCTATGATTAACTCTGTTATAGCTACTTATCAACAGTTTATATCACGAGGATGAAAGACGTGCATATTATAAACAATATTTCTTAAATATCAGTTTAAAATAACTGAAATGCGGGTAAATGGTTGATTTTATAGTGTTTTTTAAGGAAAGGTTAGACCATGCATTGAATTTATAGAGGGCCGATTGAATATAGAGATATCAGACATGCGTCAAGCATAGCGTGAGGGCGAAATATTTGAATAACGCGCACCCTTATATAGGGTCAAAGGGGAAGCAAGCAATAATACTCAAACCGCGGCTTTGCAAAAGCGACGAATCCAATTGCTATATTTCGCTTTTCCATGTGTATAAGCAGAATTTGGCAATTATATAGCTACCTATAAATAGAATGATTTAGGCGACAACAACAAATTTCTGTTGCGGTACTAGTTTTGGCAACGCTGGAACAATCATATTTAAATTTCAATATAAATGAATAATCTGGTGTATCAAACAATGATATTTTCTTTTTTATATATTTGAAATATAGGTTAAAAGAAAAAATTCCTCCGAAGAAAAAGTCTTACAAGGTGATCGTGCCGTTAATACTGCATGATGCTCACTGAGCTCACAAAAAAACAATACTCGTGTTGAATTGCATTTTCGCTAAAATTGCGAAAACCTCTATAGTAGTTTAATTAAGATAAATTAAGATATCACCTGTTATATAAACACTACACAAAAAGAAAGTTTCCCCCGGATATATTATTATAATTTCCGACATGAACGAATCTCACATGCCGCTAATTAAACTTATGGTAACCGTAGCTAAATACCATGTGCGTGCATGTATACCGTTGTGTATACCAACGAAAAATGTTGCTGAATAGTGAGTGAAAATAAATAACACCACTCTAATTTCTAAATTAGGTATAGTTTTCAATTTAATGGACGATAAGCCCTTTTTAAAAGCACGGTCTATATAGTGAACTTATATTGTTCCCATGCATGGCATTTAGCAAATTATCATAAGTCTATCATGAAGAGGTTATGATAATATATATAAGGGGGAACTCTCTTTTTGTGTAGTGCTTTGTTTTTGGGAAGTACGCACTTTTTTTAAAATGTCATGCACTCTCATTGCCTTGATTTTTCGCGAAAACTTCCCAAGGACAAATACCAGATAAAATATACAGAAAGATGCTTAGGATCGCCTGAAGCAATATATGTTGCTGTGGTATGTTGTTGTGAATGAAGTGGCGTAAAGTTCATTGTTTGTTTACAAAGTGCAATCTATTTAGTCTTCCATCATGACACAGACCATGGCCCTGTCTATTATAAGCTATCGCATGAGAAAGCACTGGAAAATGTTTTCAAAATTCATACCATGAAAATATGCTACACCTATACTGTTTTCAATTTCCATACTGTATCCATTCTGACCATAGCATGAAAATAGCAATTAGTATGTATATATGGATATATTATGAACTTCCAACAATTTCTAGCTAGCATCAATACTATTTTCATAAAATGGATTTTGAGAAAAATTTCCAGTGAAACATGGTTTTACAGTTCACTCAACCTGTGTTTATCTTCGAAAATGGTCCATTAAATGTTGAGAATTTTTCATAAATAATTGAGAAATGATGCTTTGAAATTTTAGATTTCATCGGCGGAAATGATAGCAGAGTTCGAAGACATGCACAAAAATTAAGGCCGGCATATTTACTTTTTGATAACAGAAATGAACGAACTGTTCAGGTAAGATACATATATATTATTTTTTTACACAAAGTTTATAACTCCAGCGGGGAATGTTATTCTTAAAAAGGACACTTTCAGTAGATGATTGTCAACTGAGCTTGTCTGCGAGTAATTGAAAAAAAAGCTGAAAATACTATTCTCAACTTGGCAGTTGATGTGGCGCTTCTCTAACAACGAAACGGAAAGGTGGAAAAATTTCAAACAACTCAAGCCAGGGAGGACTACGCGCCTAATGTCGTACGACGTCCATGAATGGAAAGCCGTGGAAATTAAGGAGAGGAAATCATTGACGATTAACAATATGACGATTAACAATATGACGATTAACAACATGACGATTAACAATATGATGATTAACAATATGACGATTTTCAAACCAGAAGCCAATTCGATAAAAACGCAAACGGTGTGCATTATAAAACATCCAGGTAATGTTCTTTTCAACCTGCATTTAAACCACCCATGCACTTCCAACCACATGGTAGTGAAATAACAAACATTATGTAAAAGTTAGCAATTTTGAAGCTGACATAGGAATATGTGCATATATGTGTTACCTATATTGTATGGATAAATAGTCCTTAAAACGTTAACGTTTTATAACTTACTCATCTTTATTTTAGGAATATTACCCGAAAATAGTCTTTCCTCTGTAGATAAAAGCTCAAAAACAATTTTCGCGGCTTATTTTAATTATTTTTCGCAAAAACTCCACGCCTCAGTTCTATTAAAATTATGTTCATGCAAGCGATGCAACTGTGCCATATAACTGCAGGAAGCCACCTTAAAATGTTCTTGACTTAATCAGAGACACATATAAAATGATTTGAAGGATTCATCCTTAAAAACTAAAAAAAATGTCATTCAATACTGCATCGCAACTGTTATAAAACGAAAAATAAGTGTCGCACTGCTACGTTGAAAACACGGAGAGTGTAGCAGCTGAGGGTGTAAAATTGAATTTCATTTTCTGTCCTGGAAACGCTTGCGTCTTAAAATTTCACCTCAGTTATTATCAGGTAAAATTAATACTCTGATGACTATACTACTTGAGTGCGATTTAGACGCTAAAAACGCCAAAAAAGAATGGTGATGTAGTGGTAACATGGTCTTAGTAGCCTGGGTATAAGACATTTTTATCAAAAGTTTGTGAGAGAATTGACCAATTAGCATCGTGCACTTTCAGTTTACTACAATTCACCTAGGAATAAATCCCCCAGCCAATGTATTTCCCGGTAAATTTCTCAGTTAATTTCCAAAGTCAAATTTGTGCCTGTAAAAAGAAATAACTTTTTTTGGTTTTTTTTTACACCGTCCCTTTCAGATCAAAGTGAGGATGATATAGTCATAAAGAAATTTGTCGAGACACTGGTTGTTGTTGATAAAAGCGTTAGGAATAGATTCGATAACGAAAGTGAAGCTGAACGATATGTTAAAGTTTTGTTTAGCTTGGTATAAATCAATTTCTGAAAAATTAATATTCGCCTGCATGAATATCCTTTAAAAACTTAATATATCTTCGCCTGCATCTGATTAAATTAGATGATTGACAAAATCAGTTTTCTTCATTTAGGCCTCACGTGTATTTTACCACAGCAATTTAACTCAACATGGATTGGAAATTTTTATAATTCCTTCCAAGATTGTATTTCATACGGTGAGTTGAGGAGATGTTTTATACCAGTATAGGTGGGTTCGCTGTAAGACAGCCCAACAGCGAATTGTTTATTTTAGATAATAATGAACTTAGATGAACAAGAAGCAACCAAATAAAATTTGTTTACTTTTCAGTAACCCAATCAATCATAATTAATAACAACTTGTATATTATTTGACAAACGTATATCATCTGCTATTTACATGAAGTTTTACAAAATGTAGCATTCTGATTGGTTTGAAAAATGTAATTTCTCCTCGTTAATGACGAATGAATGAATGACGAAGTAAATGACGAATTTATTCCCCCGTTATAATTAGGTGTTTTTTGCTCTGGCTGTTGTGACAACACCCAATTTTTGGTAAATTTGTAGTCATTGCGACATTACATTCATAGTGGTTGAAGTTCATACTCATGAGACGCTTAACCTGAGTGATATATAAGAATATAAATATAAAGAATATAAATAATTAATAAATAATATACAATATAATATATAAATAATAAGAATATAAATAAGATCATCATATACGCCATTTATAGATGAAGCCATATATAGATGGGCGTTTGTTTGTGGAGACACCACATGAAATGAATTTAGTTTTGCACAGCTTTCGGGCGAAGCTCTGCGAAACTAAATTCACGTGGTGTTTTGACAAGAAAATTATATATTGCCATGCAAACTTTCAAAGAAATTAAGAATTTTGATATGCAAGTTGTTGTCTTGTTAAGATCTTGCCGGAGATCTCGGACAGATCTCGCACAAGATCTTCGTCCGAGAACTCTGCCGATGAATATGCGACCTATTTCTCCTGAAAAACATTGTACAAACACGAGCAATTCGTGATCCAGTGCTTAATAGAATATGTTAGAAAGCAATTCGCTACCGCGCCTGGTTCAAGGGAGATCAAATGCTGTCTCGTGCGAGGGTGGAATGCTTTTCACGCTTTATAGGTAATTGGAGAATAACAGGCAACAATAATTCTCAGTATTATTTTCAGGATGAAATAAAGTTTAACATACGAAGCTGGAAGATAACCTTAACAAGGGCTTGTCGTCGATTGAATGAAATTGCAAAAAATGAAGAGAGGCGGTACGATCACATGTTATTCATGACAAAGTAAGTCTTTTTCATTTAATCATGTTCACTAAGTTCTTCACAATAAGAAGTAGAAGAGAAGATAAGCGGGCCGTAGGGCAGTTTTTTGGTCCAGGCCTCATCGCCTTTTTTAGTTCTAGTGTAGCTGTGTGAAATATGCAGGCAATTGCACGTGTTAAAGGCCAAAAGTTAAACTCAAACGTTAAACTTATAAGTATTGTTAAAAAACACAAGGAGCAACGTGGTGAACGTGGTCAGGCCCGCAGCTAGAAGCCTGATTGGGGGGAAGGTGTATATTCATATATTCGTCTTATGCCTCACTGATTTCTTTTGTACGCTATTGTTCCTACGGTATAATATAAACATGAATATTACGTGTATATTGTGCACCCATCTCCCAATTAAGCGGTCTAGCTACGATTTTAACTCATTAACATTAAGTTTGGCACATGAGAAGTTCGACGTCTGAAACAGTTCTCATGCACTGTGATTGTAAATCTGTCTCCAGTAATACTTTGGGCCCTGAACAAGCCATGAGCCCAGGTCCCCTATAGCCCTTGGCCTCTGGGTGGTTAACCCTTTCCGTCACCCTCACCCTTTTGATGCTACCATAATAATAGCACGTACCAAACATAAAAGGTTTGTTGATTTAATCCCGCTCAATTTATCAAAAATATACGTTTTTTAACAGGAAAAGATTCGGCGCAAAAGGTAATTGAAGTTTTTACAACTTAAAACAGTTTTGATTCTGTGTCTTGTTTCATCTTAAATTCCTTTCCAATTTTTTATTTTATTCTAAATCAATTTTCCTAAAATCTATAATAAGAATACAGCTGATTTTGATCCAAATATTTTCATTTAGTGACTAGAGTTATTCTGAGGATACGTTATAAACAGGGGCCGGCTGTAATTGCAAGTCTGTTTAGCTTAAACGGTGGATAAGTCAAAATGAAATGACACTCTTAGATCTCTATTGAATGAGTGAACTTGAATATGCACTAAATATTGAGTTGTAAACTGAGTATCCTTGTATTAAGATTAAAAACATTTAGTTTGCTTGTTGAATAAAACGATAGACTTGCTTTCTATTTAGAACTTAACCATCTCAACGTACTTGATACAACCGGTCCCTGGCTAGTCGCTAGAAGCTTAGTTGGGGGGGGGGTATTATTCATCTATTCGTCTAATGTACTTGCTCGCTATATTGGCTGAATGGAAGCAAAAGGTTGAAGCGAAACTTTTACTAACGCTTATACGGAATCCCTAACAAATAACCAGCACGTACAAATAATACGAAATATGGTTTATGTACGTGGTGCAGCAGGCACAAAATTCCCTTCCAAAAAAATTAATCAAAACAAGACATTTTGCTACTTAATGAGGTCATGGGTAAAACTTTTTCATACTTCGCCACTGAACAAATATTTGGTTGTTAAATGTGATTTATTCACGGTGATAACAACGTAGAGTGATTTGTAAGTAATACATCAACAAATTCTCACACAGCTTTCAGCAATTTAAGAGGCTTTAGTGGTGCTTCATTGTGTTTGAATTATCATAAAACTTTTCGTAATTTTTTTACTTTTACAGGACTTGCAATAAGGCGCGTAATGTGCAGTCAATCAAAAAGTTGTTCAATGGTTTTTGATATTGGCTTCTCTTCAACAACACTTATCGCACACGAGATAGCACATGCGTAAGTTGGACAATATAATTAAGTGTTTACCTCACGAAAGTACTCCACAAGAACAGTTGTAGTACTTGTGCCTGATTCTCATATGTCACCGACGGTCGGCGATGTTTTGTTTGTGGCCTGCGAGACCTGGTTCACATTTGTCCTAAGAATCTGGGTTTCCCTTTTGTTCTAAGGTAATTCGGGCGCAAATGTTTTGTCTATTGGAAAAAAATACAATGGATCTCTGATTCTTAGGAGATGGTGTAAATCAGACTTGATTATTAATCAACACGGCACTTCATTCATCAGTGCTCAGCGACAATGGCTATTGCCGACCGTCGGTGACATATGCGAACCAGGCTTTATGTAGCAAAGGCACTGATCCGGTAATAAAGAAACAGGGACTAATCCCCGAGCCAGTGCGGAGCAACACACCCAAAGTCGTCCACCATTATGCAATGGACCTCATGTCATGGACAGTCTTCTATGTTATGCGCGTGCGCCAGTGTTAACTACAAAGCTTTTGATTGGTCGAGACAAAAATTTGCGGTTTAACAAAGTTAACAAGACCAAATGTTCGAATGTTCGACCGAATTCCCCGTGAATAATAAAGTCGGAAGATTTTACACTTGATAATATTGCACCCGGCAGTCGGCACAGCTTTAAAAAGTCATTCGTTTGTGGTAAACACAACTTTATCATTGTCAAATGTATTTCACTATAAATCTAAATGTGTTATGTGATAGACGACATTATAATTTCATTTATAGATTCATATTCACAAAAAGAAAATCAAATCAAAATATTCACGTACAAAAACCAGTCGCGGCGCAACGTATAACTTCTAAAGTTGTATGAGACGTCTGATGTTATCGTATTTTTGTATCATATGTAATCGAATCTTTTCGTATTTTTGCCATTTGTTTTCACAAAAATATGAGCGCAGTGATATGACGGTAAAGTTTGAAGATATACGGCCATGGTTTCCACAACTTATTTGCACATGAATGCCCTCATGAGGGGATGGCAATGACAAAAGATAGAAACAAAAAACTTTTGAAAAGAGTGCATAAAATATTCTATTTAAAACCTCCCTCCCTCCCTCGTGGTTGCCAATTAGGAGCAAATTTTCTTGCATTGCGGAAACCCTGTATACGGCCGTCGCGAGTTGCCATTAATCCCGTGCTTCCACTTCCAGGAAAATATTTCCATACTTCTTTTCGCACATACCACGTACCCTTCAAACCCCTCAAGCCACATAAATTTTCTAACTATCATGTTAGCATCCCTATGCTTAACTAATTTCGGTTAACCGAGGCGAGAGGTTGCATGCATGTATTTCTAGTATACACCTGATGCGCGTGTGTTCCTGAAGGAGAAAGCTTCACCTCACTAATAAGTTTACCCTTACTAGAAGCTTAATTTGGAGGCTGGGGTATATTCATATATGCATATGCTTGTCTTATAGCCACTGTTTACTTTTGATAACCGAAAGACTTATTTGTTGTTTGAGGTCGTATTTGGTAAAATTAAAAGATAATGATCCTATAAAATGATGCAACATGTATACTTTACAGTGTCTAGTTAAGAATATACCTCGATGCTTTGATTCTTGACTGCATGTGTAGTAGCAACAAAAACGAAAAGTGGACGATATTCTACGCCTACAGGCAGAATACTTATAAGTGAAATCTTCCTTTTTTAGGCTTGGTGTGTCACACGTAACACTCAAGCAATTCACTCCTTTTGTTATGGCGAGCTATTCGTTTGGAAGTTTTAATAATCACATCTGGTCCTACAAAAGTTTGAGTTCACTTCTTTTTTATAGGTCAGTGAATATACGAAAAAGTTATGTCAACTTTATGTGTCGCGTTCTGATCGCGTCATATGCAATTTAAACAATAGAAATGAGATTTTAATGATTGATCATGCTTCCATCATTATCTGATTATCCCTTGTTTAAATTTCATTTGACGTGACTAGAATACGTCGTATACACTAGGATTTTGTTTTCTGCTATCGCAAAACTCCGCCGAAATATAGGATGAAATGCATTCTTGGTTATCAGTAAATTGATTATTTTGGGTTTATAGAAACCAATTTTCGTGTCTTGATAATGAACCCAATGTCACAGCGCATAACAATGAGACGTACGAACGCCCTGGTATATATTTCTCGTTCGAAAAACAATGTAACTTGGAATATGACGTGCTTGAAGCTCAAACTTCATGGACGACGACAAAGATTCCAGTAAGTTTGATGAAACATTCTATAATAATCACTGTTGATGATCTAATCGATTAGGCAAAGATGTGACACTGGTGTTGCAACCAAAGCTCCATTTTTTTCTTCTAAAAGCTTCTTTTTCGACAAAATTGTAGCCTACATGCATTATAATGCTTAACTTATCTTGAGAGATGTTTTCAACAAATATTTCTCAAATAAAAGTTTGAAAACTGTCGTTTCTTTTTTAAACAATGAATAATGGTGCAATTTTAGGATATGCGACGATAGGTTTGACACGTTTAACTCAAAGCATGTGGTATTTTATTAACTAGTTTTCTTCTCTCGAAATCTGGTTGGGAAGATTCCCCACATTTTTAAGTTTTTGAAAACAATTTAACAACTTATCTATGCTTATTATTTGTGCAGATATGAATTTATGTGCAGACGTTTCCCTGTGATTTTCCATACTTCCAATCGCATGGCGACGGAAAGTGGAAGAAGGGCAAATAATTGTAAAAAACACCACTTGTTAGAACTCTTTCTCGCCCACACCTATTCCTTCAAGACGGATTCCGTATGGATTTGTCTCCAGTAGCGTAGCCAGCCTGACGATTTGTCCCGCTATGCCAAGGTTTTGGTGTTTATTCACTGTGAAAACAATGAATTTCTAAAGAAACGAATAATTATAGTAACACGAAATTTACATAGCGGGACAAAATCGTCTGGCTGACTACGCCACTGTTTGTCTCATCCATATCTTTACTCGTGCATGTAAACAATATCATATTATAGCTCACGTTAGATGATTATCTTTCATTTAAGTCACGTGATCCGTGTGAAAATCTAAGATGCAAGTTCCCAGGGTTTAATTCACTTTTGGTCAGAAAAACGGGCCTTCCCGCCCTCGATGGAACGCATTGCGGAGACAATAAGGTAATCACGTTTGTTATGTTCAGGCAGGCTTCATCACTAAGATGTGCTTCCCATTCAAACCGGCACATTTCACAAAGGAGCGGGAGATATTTTTAGGCTTCAAAAACTTGAAAAAGGATGATCGATGCTTTTTAATTTTGTAGTGGTGCATATCTGGTAAATGTCAGGAAAAGATACCCTCAAACCACACAACGACTTCTGAAATCATGGGAAAAGTGTGACTTGCGTTCGTTTGCTAACACGTAGAAGATTATTTCATTTTCGTTAAAGTGGTACATCACATTGCATATTTATAAAATTGAAAATATCGAAATATCTTAACATACTTAATATCTGTTTTTTAGAGTCTAGTTCACAGCACAGACATCAGTATGCCAAGTACGCTTTAGTCGTTTTAGAGCTTAGGTTTATGGTAGAACAGAGGCAGAGTTTTTGCCGCAATAAACCCAAATTAACGAACTTAGCACGTGCTTTGAACTAGCATTAGAACAATCATACATTTCTACTTCAACATAATTCAACATTTCTAATTTTATAAATATGCAAGTTATTTTTTTAGTGTACCACCTTAACCTAATTGAAATAATGATATCATATATGTATGCTTTATAAATTACCTAACCTTTCATCATTGTTGCGTTTTTTCCATCATGTAGCTAATATAAAATTATATAAAATATAAAGTAAATTTTTGAAAACAATTTACTTAAACAACCTTTGAACGACTCTTAAAACATTTTTTAAAACATCTTTGAACGACTCTTTAATAATTTCAGTTTTACTTTGAATCTCACAACTCATTTTTCAGTTTATATAACCTAGTAGTTCATTAAAAAGGTTACATCCTTGGAAAAAATTCCAGCGAAAAGTTACGTTTGATCGAAAAATTCAGCCTAAAAGGGAGCCGCCTTTAGTCGAGTTAACAGGTGAGAACTGCATGTATAGTCAAGAATGCATTGATGTGGTAGTTGAGGGAAATGAAAAATAATCGAGATTTACATGCGACAGTTCAGAAGATTAATCAACAGTCAAATTTTTTGAGCGGTTTGGTCAGCGGGTTCGTATAGACTTCGATCGGAACCACACGTGCGGTCGAATAATGGCTGTCACCAGGCTGCAAGTACAATCGCTGAGAGATTTTTCGTTGCACGACGGTAATTCGATAGGGGCCACGCGTTCTGCTTTTAAAGCAGAAGAGATTCGGTAACAGTAGATCTGGCAATAATCAGTGAAGGCGCCATGTGGTTTCATTACAAAATAAACAAAGTCGATGCAATTGAGCCATTGACTGCTTGACTGAGAATCACCACCTTTACAAAGTGTCGAGTGACAACCTGATCAGTGCTAGATAACATCCACAAAAATATACGATGACGTCATGAGTTAACGTTGGATGATTTAGAAAGACATTGATTGAGATACCGATTTTTGTCTCGTTACATCATGCAATGCATCTGTGTAGTAATCTGTTTATCTCCGGTCTGAATATTCCATTACTGCATGGAATTCTTGTGTGCGCTTTTGTTTTGGGAAACAACATTCTCTAGTGATCTGAGATATTTATTCTTTATTTAATTCGTGTTACAAATTCGTGATACAAACCACCTGAAATCCCTGATTAAGAGTAATCTGCGATAATGCCTTGTTTAAGGTTTACGGGTGCACTTTATCAGGTGTACGTACGGTGGTGTTTTTCCTCAGTGGGAGACACTTTTTCCATACTTACGTCAAGGACACGTCTTTTACGTGTGAGATCTTTACTCTAAACAAACAAATAGGCAATATGATTGGCTGGTTATTCATGAAAGGGTTGCTGCGTCAGCCTGCGTGGTCAACTGACGTAATCGTCGAAACGAGGTGTTTCTCAACTCAACTCAACTCAACTCAACTCAACTCAACTCAACTCAACTCAACTCAACTCAACTCAACTCAACTCAACTCAACTCAACTCAACTCAACTCAACTCAACTCAACTCAACTCAACTCCAAAACTTCACCTCAGCAATACCATTTGGTTAGCCGATTAGTGGGTACAAATTCTCTATAATATAGAGCCAATCATACTGAACTAGAAAACAGTGCATATATTTGTAGGTAAATTACTTATATTAATCGCAGCAATAAGCGCTATATAAGCTCTCTAACGTATCTGAGATAAAATTGGCACAAACGCTACAATTATATGCCATTAATTTTGCTCACACAAAAATTAAATTGTATTGCATGGTCGTTCACTGTCGAGTTAAATATAATAATAATGATATGTTATGGCTGTTGGGTTTATATAATTTATTTCCGGATATATGTGGCCTATATCTATTATCCGCTGTGGTATTATTTTCAACCATTGCAGACAAAGATCGACTTTTAAGTCAGCAGTTGCTAGACTTTTGTGTGCTTTAGTTTCTAAGATTTTAATTATGGCCAGGCACATTCGCGGCCTTTCGGCCAAATCTTAATTAACGTACGCACTTAATACCGCGTGATAGCATCTCCTTTTGGTTTGTGGCCGACATAATGTTTTCATGCCGCTTTCAAATTTGATTTAATTTCACTCTCTGTTTGATTTGAATGTCATAATATGTTTGAAATGTGATCAAGAAAGGCCAGTCACCATAATTGACTGACCGCCCTAGAGCCGCATTGTTTGCACCAGGAAACACAATTTTGCAACTTATGTTCGTTGAAAAAATGCAATTTCACTACATTTTTAGTTAAATATTAAACACGAGCTGAAGTAAATTGAAAAAAAGCATCGCTGTTTAGCTTTTACTGTAAAATTACGCCCTCTATTTTCTTTATTTCAAGTTTAAAACTGACAGGCAAGAGTGTTTAATTGACTCATTGTAAGAGGATTATAAAGGGTATTGAATTTTAATTGTTTTGCTTTTGCATGCGAATAATTTCTGTCTTGAATGGAGTCGCATTCGCGGCTTTAGAGTATAATTAAAGGCCGTACCGATGGTTATCGAGACTTAATCGAAAATGCTCAGTACATTATGAGCATTTCCCAATCAATTTTGCGGCTCCTTGCTCGGTAATGAAGCACATTTAAGAACACATTGTTTTTTGCACGAAACCCCGGGAAGCCGTGAAATTTAGCCGTAAATTGCCTTTGTGGCTTATGTCAAATTAGATCATTTCGCTCGTGCCACATTCTGTGAAAGGATCCGCGCTTGTGGCCACGAAAACCAAAGAGCTATTATCGCTAATTAAAAGTGGACAGCTGATATAGAGCCTTTGAGACAGTTCTCGATATTCAGACAAGCGCAGTCTAGTACGAGGAAGAATTCTTTGTGAAACCTACACGATTCATTCCTGTCAGCAATTTGTTTGATACATTATCGCGGCTGCTTCAACCGATGTTATCTCGAACTGAGAGGATATCCAAATCGTAGCGAAATTCTTCAAAGTAAGTGCAATTTTTGAATGCTCGTTGTTTTGGTAATTATCGATTGAATGCTTAGAAACTACTTAACATATACAAGTACGAATCAATATACACTTCCGAAGCGGTTAACAAGTGAGTGTTTGTTTAGGAGATAAGCTTAAATACTGTTACCGTGTGAAAGCGAGCGCTTTACTTGCGATTGTGTGTTGCGCTATTTTTTCTGGTATGGCGATATTATACTTTAGGTCAAAATTGACGAGTGACTGACGGGACTTTCATTCGCTTTTATTTGATTCGGAAATCACAAAAGTTGTTCAATGTTTATAACCAAAGAAATTATAGTCGGGGCAATGCAAATGAATCTAATTGGCTTGAATACACACTTTCATATGTTTAGAATGTTATGTTGACCTTGACGTGATTGCTGCGAAAGTATTATGGGCAATAGTGTATGCATTCATCGAGCATTCATGATAGAAAAATGACATCAATTGTACAGTTATGTAAACAGAGTTCAATTCTATCACAAATTATGTTACATTTGTTCGCGAACTTGAAAGTTTTAACATGCAGCATGCGGCGTAACTCAGTCGGTGTCTCTTCAGGCGTGCTCGAGAGTTTGATTACAGCTATCCTTCACCTTTAATATGCATGCATGAAATTCTATTACACAAAATTTTAAACTCTTCAACAATCCTCGGTTCCTAACTGAAAGGTCATATTAGCAACGAAAGTGCATGCGTTTGAACCATGCACTTACATGCAACGATTTGCCAGCGCAGATCGACGCTGGAAAACCGTTAGGTTTAAACAGCGATCGCTGAAAATGACATGTAGTTCCGCATATGCAAGTGCGTATACATTCTGTGAAATCATCAAATTTAATTTTCACGTGGATGCATGAATGCTTAGCTATAGGTAGATTAGGCCTATACATAAACAGTTCAGATCGGTCGATTACACTTATAAGCAAATATGGGAACTCTTTAATTAAATTGTTCAAGTCGGCGTATGGACCTTGGTGCACCGCACTAGTTATTCATACTTTGTGAGATATGATTATTTGAAGGTCACGAGCTCGCTTAATAATTAGCCCAAAGGCTTTTTCTACGTATACGGAAGTTTGAAAGCGTTTGACAGTTTTATATACATAATATTATTGTGAATTCAACCAATTTCACACTTACATGGTGCACTATATCCATATATTTGATGCTATAATAGCCTGTGTATGTCCAGATATATTCGATGTTCCAATTAAATGAACGAGAAATTATATCAGCGTGCAAATGCTTGGATCATCAAGTTATCCGAAATCCGTTTAATCACTATCCTGCTAATCTTGTTAGCACAGGCAAGGTGCACATCCGTGTTGGCATAGCAAGGTATTTCTTACCGTAACTCTTTCGATGAGACTGATGGATAAATGAGTGAATCTTTGATAATTATTTAATCTTTGCATGCATGGACAAACGAATGGAGTAAAAAGAATGCTTATTTGATAGATCGATTTACGCTAATTTTATATGCATGGGCATTCTATTATTTACAAGGTGAGTCGCTTAAGTTTGGAACTAGTTCTATACATTGTGTCGCATGCAAGTCCGAGTTGGTTACGAAACAGAGGCCAAGATTTCCGTTCTTGGCCTTGGGTTGTAAAAGTAGCGAATATTTCTTCTAATGTCCGCCTGGGGGTGATTTCAGGCTAAATGCGTCTATATTATGAGGATAGTGTATATGAGAGTACTGGATCGAAGGAATGTTAAAAACAGTTCTATTGATCACCGCAAAATATGTTCATCGGTTAAAATCTGACTTTTTTCATTCATCTCAATGACAAGAGCCGAAACAAAATGCATATGTAGATCATTTCCTAAAATCGTTTGAACATGTATATTGACTTATATTATTGTTTGAATCATACCAAATTTGGAGTATTTTTATCACCTTTATTTTGAATTGCATGTTTACGCGTATATAATAGCATAGTTTAACTTACTTATTTCTTAAAACTAATTGAAATTTTTGCTCCATACAGCGAGAAATATAATTGAACCACAGACCACGAGTAAAACGGAACTGAACTAAATTCCATTAACGTGTTACAAGAGAACACTTTTGCGTTTTTCTGAAAGCATTTCTTGCCTCGACATTATAAAGCTAGATTTTTTTGCACACTGTTGTCAATTTTTAAAATTATCTTAGAGACCTATCTTGGGAGTTTTTAAGATTTAGATTTCTGGCGTATGTGATTGAATATAAACACGTGTATGAAAACGTGATGCATATCTCATGCATGCAAATTTCTCCATAAGCGGAATGAGCAAAATGTGGCATGAGCAAAATGTGAGCAAAATGTGGATACACATTTTTGAGTCCTATATTACACTAATCCTATAGTATACCTTATCAAGCCGGCGGTATTTAATACCCGAATATAATCCAAATGAAACAAGGGATTCAGTTTTATTTATGTTGGCTATATATATTTCGTTGATCATGTGAAAGATCGTGGCTGAAGCACTGCATGCATGCATGCCTGAAATGACTGAATTGTTGTAATACTGACTTCTTATGTCTGGATATATTTTGATTTCTGTTGGGAATAATAAAATTCCTTATACAAGATATTTTCACATGTAAATAATATAGCTATATAAATTTGGTGTACGCTAGCTCGAGCTAGGTGTTTCGTAGGACAAAATCAAGGACAAAATTTTGTTTCGTAGGACAAAAATTAAGGAAAATAATGATATTTAAGGAAAAACAAAACTTACCGAGTACTAGTGAGAACAACAATAACGAATGGACTAGGAAATCAAACAATATTCACACAACTTTCGACTTCGCAAATGTATTTTTATTCAGTAATGATGTTCAATATTTTCAGCTGTTTCATATTATATCAGTAAATAACAACCTAAATCATCATATCATATTGCTCTATTAGTGCCAATCGTAATTGTTACTACAACCAGTAACTTGCGTCACATGTATTTAATTATTTGGTTTTTGCGTTTTAAAAAATCGAATAATAGTTATCGCCATTATATTGATGTTGGTTATTTTGTTGCATATATACGTACAGTCCATATGAACGGCATTAAATCTGAACGGAAATATTTATCAGTTTATCAGTAACTTCCCAATTGGCAAGACAAGAGATACTTTTGAGTGGAAACGGAACGTTCACTGCTATAACTATAGTACATGAAAATTTTTTACACTTTTATTAAATTTGAAAACTGAAAACAAGGGAAATAGGAAGGAAATTTTGAAAACCAAAAGACATGCATGGCAACAAAAAGTTACAAAGCGCAAAAGCAGTGCCAGTTAGAAAGATTGAGACAAGATTGAAACAGCCATATTAACGGAAAGGCAACTAAATAAAGAAAATAAAGGAAATGTTAATGACATATTTTGCCTACGTTCGTATATAAACCCCGTGTATAAATTGGACTAATTGTTACCAAACCGTGTTACTTAGTGATACTGAATAATTAGTTAACCTCCAATGTGCGCAGCTGAGCGTAGGTTTGAACGCGTGCATGTATTTCTAGCCGATATTAATCAAGTTATCATGAATATTATCATTTGATGAACACTCGATTAATTATCAACAGTCGCGAAAATAGTTGTTCTCTTTAATCCAGGCAGGGTCTCTTTATTTTATCGAGGATAAGAGGACCCTAGGCACGGGCAGACAGGACATGCGTATGCCGCGCACAACACGATGCCTATATGTCAAACGAAGTTTGTTCATGCATGACTTTGCCCAATTTGCCACAATTTACAGCAGAACAGATTTGAAGAATTCATCCAAATGATTAGTTTGCTCGCCCATGCATTGTAAATTTACAAAGTAACGTTATGAAATACTTCGCTATAATTATAAAGATTGCGAATCGATAATTGGCAGCAACTACGAGGAGGTTGTTGTGAACAGAGCTTCCTACGTTTTTATAAGCCATCGAAATTTACTCTGAAGCTTATATAGTGAACACAGGTGCATAAAACTTATCATCGTAACAATTGTAGTGTAAACTACTGACGGCAATCTTACTCAGCGACAACTAGTTTTTTACAACCGGTTGTACAAAAATATATTGTTAACTTACCACTATACATAGTGGCAGTGTTAGCCAATCAAAAACGGTTATTTTTCACAACATGTTCTACTGGATATTGGGGTTTTATGTTGATTACAATTAAAAAAATGACACGCTCGTGTGCCGTGCCAAATCAGTCACTAGGATGAGCTGTTTGAAAGTTAATAAACTTCTATTATCAAAATTTCTCTCATATGCAGGAATAACAGTCTCAGTAACGAAGAGCGTATATAGTTAGCTACTTTTAGCACGCACGATCAATTGCATGATTTTACGTTACAATTATAATGACACACCATCATAATACGGACTTTCCCTAATTTGCGAAAATATCTAATAGGCACTTTGTTACTTAATGGATATATCCTCAGAATGATTTCTCCGCGGCCATTTAGGAAGCAGAGTTAATTACAGTTCCTACTACTAATGCACGTGGAAAGCATTCAAATCAAGTGCGAGTTTCATTATCGTTTCAAACAGATCAAACGTTGCTTGTATCCAGCTTGGCATTTTCACAATAGTATTTATCTTTGAACGAGATGCCGTTTGGCCTCACATTGATAATGATTTCACTCCTTATTCGGCCCTATCTTTTACAACAGCATGAAGATACCTTAATAGTTACCGTCGCCGCCTTATTTGCTTGCAACTTCATCGCCACACAATTAAAACTCAGTGTGAAAATCTGGGAAAATTTATTGCTTTGTGATGATAATCAGCGGCTTAGACTGTATGGAGTATTCGTGCGTAGCTGTAAATTAAAAAATGTGTCGCACACGCTGTCGAATTATTGATCTTATAAGAACGTTGAAATTTAGACCATTTCAAAGACAGTGAAAGAGCCGTATACATGGGAAGAACAAGCAAGCTTTATTGCATTAAAGTAGTTCAATTTACGTTGCAAGACTTCCG